CTTTGTCAGTAGAGCAGAGGTCACTATGGGGTCAGTAGAGCAGTGGATGGTGTCACTGGTGTCATGGCAGTGGACTTTCAGTAGAGCAGAGGATGGGGTCAGTAGAGCAGAGGATGGGGTCAGTGGAGCAGTGGATGGTGTCACTATGGCAGTGGACTTTGTCAGTAGAGCAGAGGATGGTGTCACTATGGCAGTGGAATTTGTCAGTAGAGCAGTGGATGGGGTCACTATGGCAGTGGAATTTGTCAGTAGAGCAGAGGATGGTGGTCACTATGGCAGTGGACTTTGTCAGTAGAGCAGAGGATGGGGTCACTAGAGCAGTAGAGGTGGATGGTGTCACTATGGCAGTGGACTTTGTCAGTAGAGCAGTGGATGGTGTCACTATGGCAGTGGACTTGGTCAGTAGAGCAGTGGATGGTGTCACTATGGCAGTGGAATTTGTCAGTAGAGCAGAGGATGGTGTCAGTAGAGTAGTGGATGGTGTCAGTGGAGCAGTGGATGGTGTCACTATGGCAGTGGACTTTGTCAGTAGAGCAGTGGATGGGGTCAGTAGAACAGTGGATGGGGTCAGTAGAGCAGTGGGAAAGACGGGATGGAGCAGTGGACGGGGCCAGTCGAGCAGTGGACGGGGTCAGTAGAGCAGTGGACGGGGTCATAAGCAAGGTGGTGTCGAACGACCTATAAGCAAGGTGTCAGGAAGAGGTGTGGGCGGAGTGTCCTTATTTCTGCCTGATCAGTAGAGTTGGATCTAACCCGTAGCGATGTGCTACTTAATGTTTGTATACTGCTACTTTAAATAGAGGTGAACTCTTACTAAATGACATTTAGCCCACTAAAGCACTGTGTATCATAAGCAATTTCAATATGCTTTTTAATAAAAATCATTTTCACCTTTTTTTTTTTTTCCATTTGTTACATTTCAGTGATGCTGATCTACTGCAGCCTCCTTGCTGCCACTTCCTGTCTATGTTGCACTCCAGTGATGCATGGCATTTCTCTCAGGGCGGGTTTCCTGATGGTAGCGACAGACCATACCTGCCTGTGTGATGTGTGCTGAAACAGCCACTTGTAGTCTCCATTGGAAGCCTGCGTGACAGGGTGACAACGCAGGAGCACAATTGGGTGACAGGGACAAAGCATTGTCCACCCTATGACAGGAAGTGCCTGAACAAGGACCATTCATGGCAGGATCACCAGGGCCAAATTATTTTAATGAAAGCTGCAAAACTAAAACGCATGAAAACTATTTTTTTTTAAATTGTATCAAATTGTATGTAAAACTCAACAAAAAAAAATAGTTTTGCCACCTTTTGGTCTGTTAAAGCGTTACTAAACCCTGCCCTGCATTCACTAAACCCCCGGACCCTGCATTCACTATATCCGGTCTCCCCGGACCCTGCATTCACTATATCCGGTCTCCCCGGACCCTGCATTCACTATATCCGGTCTCCCCGGACCCTGCATTCACTATATCCGGTCTCCCCGGACCCTGCATTCACTATATCTGGTCTCCCCGGACCCTGCATTCACTATATCCGTCTCCCCGGACCCCGCATTCACTATATCCGCTCATTCACTATATCCGCTCACCCCGCATTCACTATATCCGGTCTCCCCCGGACCCCGCATTCACTATATCTGGTCTCCCCGGACCCTGCATTCACTATATCCGCTCTCCCCGGACCCCGCATTCACTATATCCGCTCTCCCCGGACCCCGCATTCACTATATCCGCTCACTTCGCATTCACTATATCCGCTCACCCTGCATTCACTATATCCGGTCTCCCCGGACCCTGCATTCACTATATCCGCTCTCCCCGGACCCTGCATTCACTATATCTGGCATTCACTCTGGTCTCCCCGGACCCTGCATTCTCTATATCCGCTCTCACACAGTACACAGAACATGGAAATGCAATTATTTTAGTAAATATAAACTGCTAAATTCCTTTTCTCATCAGCAGTATATAGTAGATTTGTGACTTCTATCAGTGTCCAGCAGAGCACTGGTTAAAGCTTGTAGGAGGAGTTTTCATCCTCCCCCGGGAAGGCTGCATTACCCCTGATCCTCTGTGTAGACAGCGCTGATTGGCCCGGTGGTGATCACATGCACCCTCCTGAGGAAAAAACAACAACTCTTTAGCAATACAAACCAAACTGAGCATGTGCAGTGTGCCCCCAAGGCTCTGTTCTATCAGATGAGTCAGGGACAGTAGAAGAAGGGGAGGATCACAGAAGACAGTATAAAAACAGCCATTTTACACAATGCAGAGGATTACCCCTTAGGTTCCATAGTGAGTATAACCAGCAATGCTTTACTGCATCTACAGACTGATTGTACTGTTGGGGGTTTAGTAACACTTTAAATATATCATTAACAGTATTTTGGTATATCTGTTTAATAAGTTCAAAACAAAATATCTGTTGATCCTGCCATATTTGATTTTATCTCCTGTCTTCATCTGCTGAACTGTCATTTGCTAAAATTGTTACCAGCTCCCTCTGTGAACTACACCTGTATGTTATGGAGAGGAGAGGGGGAGGTGCTTTGTAGACCTAAGACAATTCCTCTTCTAGGGTGACAATGCTGCTCATTCTTCCACTGACTACCAATGTAAGGGACATTCTTCCCACTGACCTCCAATGTAAGGGACATTCTTCCCACTGACCACCAATGTAAGGGACATTCTTCCCACTGACCACCAATGTAAGGGACATTCTTCCCACTGACCTCCAATGTAAGGACATTCTTCCCACTGACCACCAATGTAAGGGACATTCTTCCCACTGACCACCAATGTAAGGGACATTCTTCCCACTGACCCCCAATGTAAGGGACATTCTTCTCACTGACCCCAATGTAAGGGACATTCTTCCCACTGACCCCCAATGTAAGGGACATTCTTCCCACTGACCACCAATGTAAGGGGCATTCTTCCCACTGACCACCAATGTAAGGAGCATTCTTCCCACTGACCACCAATGTAAGGGACATTCTTCCCACTGACCACCAATGTAAGGGACATTCTTCCCACTGACCCCCAATGTAAGGAGCATTCTTCCCACTGACCCCCAATGTAAGGGACATTCTTCCCACTGACCCCCAATGTAAGGAGCATTCTTCCCACTGACCACCAATGTAAGGGAGCATTCTTCCCACTGACCACCAATGTAAGGGACATTCTTCCCACTGACCACCAATGTAAGGAGCATTCTTCCCACTGACCACCAATGTAAGGGACATTCTTCCCACTGATCACCTATGTAAGGGACATTCTTCCCACTGATCACCAATGTAAGGGACATTTCTTCCCACTGACCCCCAATGTAAGGGGCATTCTTCCCCACTGACCACCAATGTAAGGGGCATTCTATCCCACTGATCACCAATGTAAGGGACATTCTTCCCACTGATCACCAATGTAAGGGACATTCTTCCCACTGACCACCAATTTAAGGGACATTCTTCCCACTGACCCCCAATGTAAGGGACATTCTTCCCACTGACCATCAATGTAAGGGACACTCTTCCCACTGACCACCAATGTGAAGGACATTCTTCTCACGGACCTCCAATGCATCATTGTTGTCAGTGGGAGGGATAGTGCCCCATCATTGGTATTAGTGGGAGGAATAATGCCCCATCATTGGTGTCAGTGGGAGGAATAGTGCCCCATCATTGGTATCAGTGGGAGGAATAGTGTCCCATCATTGGTGTCAGTGGGAGGAATAATGCCCCATCATTGGTGTCAGTGGGAGGAATAGTGCCCCATCATTGGTGTCAGTGGGAGGAATAGTGCCCCATCATTGGTGTCAGTGGGAGGAATAGTGCCCGATCATTGGTGTCAGTGGGAGGAATAGTGCCCCATCATTGGTGTCAGTGGGAGGAATAGTGCCCGATCATTGGTGTCAGTGGGAGGAATAGTGCCCCATCATTGGTGTCAGTGGGAGGAATAGTGCCCCATCATTGGTGTCAGTGGGAGGAATAGTGCCCCATCATTGGTGTCAGTGGGAGGAATAGTGCCCCATCATTGGTGTCAGTGGGAGGAATAGTGTCCCATCATTGGTGTCAGTGGGAGAAATAGTGCCCCATCATTGGTGTCAGTGGGAGGAATAGTGTCCCATCATTGGTGTCAGTGGGAGGAATAGTGCCCCATCATTGGTGTCAGTGGGAGGAATAGTGCCCATCATTGGTGTCAGTGGGAGGAATAGTGCCCCATCATTGGTGTCAGTGGGAGGAATAGTGCCCCATCATTGGTATCAGTGGGAGGAATAGTGCCCCATCATTGGTATCAGTGGGAGGAATAGTGCCCCATCATTGGTATCAGTGGGAGAAATAGTGCCCCATCATTGGTATCAGTGGGAGGAATAGTGCCCCATCATTGGTATCAGTGGGACTGAACAATGTCCTATTTTTGGTATTAGAGAAATAGGGTCCCATCAGGGGCGGACTGACAACTCATGGGGCCCCCGGGCAATAGGAGATCATGGGGCCCTTGTGTCCTTGCCCAAACTCAAAAAAGCCTATGAAAAAGGTACCAGGGGCATCTCATGGGGCCCCCTACTGACCCCGGGCCCTCCAAATGGTCAGTCCCCTCCTGGGTCCCATCATTCGTGTCAGTGGAAGGACTAGTGCCCCATCGTTGGTGTCAGTGGGAGGAATAGTGCCTCAAGGGCCAGATAAAGGGAAGCAAAGGGCCACATCTGGCTTCCGGGTCACAGTTTGGAGACCAGTGTTCTAGACAAAAAAACACTAATATGTACACTTTTCTACTTTTTTTTTATAGTGGCCATCATTGAAACTGGAAGACTGTTTTAAGCAACAAATACCTCTAAATTATCTTCTGGTGTTGTGATTGGACACCTCGCCATCAAAAACCATTCCAAGCTGGACCATGACTTTTTTTAGCAATAAATATTGACAGAAGGCAAATCTGTTGCCAGCTTTGAACATTAAGGCCAAACCTGTTTTGGTAATTGTCTGGAATTCCAAAGACAATGGAAAACAGAACTGCCTCGAGATGGAGTTGCTGGAGGCACAGTGGCTATTTAGTTGGGGCCTCCTCCACATTCTTGTCTACAGTTCTCACTTTTCCAATTTACAAGACAATTTTCCGCCAGCAGCTCCACACCTCAACCATCCGGGTGGCTGTCATCCAGCTGAAGAGAGAAGGTATGAAACACCTATTCCGAGGTCTGGCACCCCCACTCATGGCAAAGACTCTCCAAGGCACTCTGCTCTTTGGCACCCAAGGAAGTCTCCAAAAGTTTCTGTTAGGGGTTAACATACCAGGAGCCATGATTCCGGCACTTTCTGGTTGCCTATCTGGGGCCATCGAAGCTGCCCTCCTTGTGCCATTCGAAAGGATGCAGAATATTTTGCAGGATGGGCGCAATACTGCTCGTTTTCCCAGCACTGCGTCAGTCTTGCAAGAGTTCCAAACTTATAAGAATGACCAAAAGTTCTTGTGTGGAATTTACAGAGGTTTCTCTATAATACTTGTCAGGAACGCCCTGGGTAGCGCCATTTTTCTTTCTTGTAAAGAGCCAATAAGAGACTTGCTAAGCCTTCAAGGACTTCCAAGTTGGGCACCTTCTCTGGGATCTGGATCTTTCATTGGTGCTTTTACCTCCCTGGTGCTTTATCCGTTGAGTGTTTTAGTTGCGAATATGCAGGCGGAGGTGGGAAAAGGTCTTCCTGGTGTAAGAGAAGTAGTGAAGACAGTGTGGGAAAAGTGTGGGGGCGGGAGGGTTTCATTGTTGTACCGTGGGGCATCTCTCATTATTGTACGATCTTGTGTTACTTGGGGTGTCACCAATTCCATTCATGATACACTAATTAGACAGCATAGCCTCAAATAAAAAACTATGACCATAAATGAGTGTAGACCGTAGAGAAACTTAATGGTGCTGATACAATCTAGAAATAAAAGGAAGTCAACCCTCCAGCAAAAGTAATGAAGGGAGCAGCGTCCTAAAGCGGTTCCAGTGATTCCGGTATGGTAGAAGAACGGACTCCGCTCAAAACCAACCTGGGAGTCAGATATTTGAGATGGCCTCAGCCGCCGCTCCATCCATGCCTGCTGACGTGTTTCTCAAAGGCCTCTGTGACCAAGCCCTGGTGGATGAAACGCATGGCCGGAGTGGCGGCTGAAGCCATCTCACACATCTGACTCCCTGGGTCGGCCTTGAATGGTGTCCGTCACTCTACCATACCGGAATCGCTATGACCATAAATGAGCCATACAAAACCTCAGATGAAATTGAAGGACCTATGGTTTCCTACGTTGAATACTGGACAACTGGGCCAAAAGTCAGAAATGTTTTAAAATATGTTACTGCTTAATGAAGTCGAACTCCATGCAAAGCAAAAATTGCACTAATACAAAAGAAATGCCTTCTTTCCTTTGGTTCATTGTCAAACAGATCCTTTTGGAAATGCTCCTAAAATGTTTCTATGAGCAATTTCCACTTTAGATGACCACTTTTCTTAACCAGTATTGTATCAACCCACCAGTAGTTCAGCCTGCCTGTAGGGCATGGAGTGGGTCGTATCATCTGGTCAATAATTCCTCATCCATCCAATCAAAGAGATGTAACATAAGGGGCTTCAGAGGAACCTGCACCTGGCCATACTGAGGAAATAGGCTGGTGTTGTAGACCTCAATGGCTTGTTTTCTGCCGAATGAGACATTAAAAAAGAGCTTGAAGATAATGGAGAATATGAAGCCTTGTGTGCCTAATCCTGAAGGCTAGCTTTAAAGTGTGTCTCAAACACCTTTTTTTTTTTTGTTTTAGATAGAGTAGGGATTGGTTGGAACATCTGCTGGGTTTTTAATACTGTTCATTATCCAACAGTGAAAGAATTCCCCCTTACGTTGCTCAACAGTGAAACTAGGCCCCCCCCCCCCCCGTACAATGGTCACTAATGGCAGGAGAGCCACATTTACATTGAGGGTCACTGGAAGAAGGGCCTCTTGTGGTCATTGGGAGAGGTCTCCACCAGTCAAAAACAAGCGCCCGCTTTCACTGGCCACCAGTGAAAGAAAGCCTCTTTGACAATGGTCACTAGTGAAAGAAAGCTCTTCTGGAAATGGTCACCAGCGGAAGAAGGGCCCCACGTACATTGATGATCAGTGGAAGAAGGGCCTCTTACATTTGTGGTCTGTGGAAGAAGACTCCACTTACATCATCCACCAGACAAACAAGGCCCCTTACATTGGCCACCAGTGGAGTCCTTCTAACAATGGAAACCAGTGAAAGAAAGCCCCTCTGACAATGGTCACCAGTGAAAGAAAGCCCCTTGGACAATGGTCACCAGTGAAAGAAAGCCCCTCTGACAATGGTCACCAGTAAAAGAAAGACCCTCTAACAATGGACACCAGTGAAAGAAAGACCCTCTGATAATGGTCATTAGTTGATGATCAGTGGTCTGTGGAAGAAGGCTCCTTGTTCGTGGTCCACCAGTGAAAGAATGCCCCTCTTACAATGGACACCAGTGGGAGGAAGGCCCCATTTACATTGGTGATCAGTGGAAGCAAGGCTATTTACATTTATAGTCTGTGGAAGAAGGGTCCCCTTACATTGGCCACCAGTGAAAGAAGGCTCCACCTTACATTGGTGGTCGGTGGAAGAAGGCTCCACCTTACATAGGTGGTCGGTGGAAGAAGGCTCCCCTTACATTGTCCACCACTGAAAGAAGGCCCCCTTTACAATGGTCACCAGTGGGAAGAAGGCCCCATTTACATTGGTGATCAGTGGAAGAGAAAGGCTATTTACATTTTTAGTCTGTGGAAGAAGGCTCCGCCTTACATTGGTGGTTGGTGGAAGAAGGCTCCCCTTACATTGTCCACCACTGAAAGAAGGCCCCCCTTTATAATGGTCACCAGTGGGAGATAGGCCCACATACATTGGTGGTCAGTGGAAGAAGGGCACCTTACCTTGGTCACCAGTGAAAGAAGGCCCTCTTACAATGGTCACCAGTGGGAGGAGGGCCTCACATTGGTGATCTGTAGAAGAATGCCTTCCCTCTCAATGGTCACCAGTGGGAGATAGGCCCCCACTTACATTGGTGGTCAGTGGAAGAAGGGCACCTTCATTGGCCACCAGTGAAAGAAAGCCCTCTTACAATGGTCACGAGGAGGACCTCACATTGGTGGTCTGTAGAAGAATGCCTCCCCTCTCAATGGTCACCAGTGGGAGATAGGCCCCACATACATTGGTGGTTAGTGTAAGAAGGGAACCTTACATTGGCCACCAGTAAAAGAAGGCCCTCTTACAATGGTCACCAGTGGGAGATAGGCCCCACATACATTGATGGTCACTGGAAGAAAAGCTCCACTTACATTGTCCACCAGTAAAAAAAAAAGGCCCCTCCTACCATGGTCACCAGTGGGAGGAGATCCTCACTGATGTTGGTGGTCTAAAAGAAATGTGCCCGTGTTTACACTGGGGGGGTCAGTGGGAAAAATGCCCCCCCCCTCTCCCTCCCCTTATACATAGCTAAAAAGATCATTTTAAATGTAAACGCCACAATTTTGTGTATATTTATTTCAAAATAATATAAGAAATTAAAGAGAAAAAATAAAATGTACTGTGAATGCTATTAAAAATAACTTCAAATATATCTTAAAAAATATTTTTGTTACAATTTCCCGCACATCGTAGATCAGCCTGAACCCGGGAGGAACGTTTCCTATCTCGCATGCTCCATATGAAAATATCGGCAGCCACTGCTGAACTTTATTCCTGAAAATGCTAGTTGCCTGGCTGTCATACTGATATAATGACCAGGGGCGGACTGACCATTTGGAAACTCGGGCACTGTCCGAGGGCCCGGGGGTCAGTAGGGGGCCCCATGAGATGCCCCTGGTACCTTTTTCATAGGCTTTTTTGAGTTTGGGCAAGGACACAGGGGCCCCATGATCCCCTATTGCCCGGGGGCCCATGAGTTGTCAGTCCGCCCCTGCCCACTCGCATTCCTGCTTGTAGGACTGCCCACTCATGTCAGTGGGCTGAGAAACGTGGAAAAGAAGTTCTCAACCCTTCTCCCAAAACGCGTCTCGCCGAACCGCACTGATCGATCTCGCGCGCAAAAAATGTGTGAATTTGCAGATACGTGAGGGCGCCATCAACCCCTTTTGTTAAAGTGCGGTGCTCTTTGCATTTCGGGAAAGTGCGCCGTTGCGCGCCGCCAGGCGAGAACCTAGCCGAATATTCCGTTATCGATCTTTATGGCGAGAAAAAATACCGCGCGAACTGCGGGAATGTTTTCGTGTTTTATATGCAATGCGTCTTCGAAAAGTCACGTAGTCACGCTGAGCCGATATACTTTTTGTTTTGTTGTTTTTATATTTGTATTAAACTTCCGATGAATTCTGGAGAGCGGATTGTTGTTCATTTTTATGTTTCTGGTTCTCACTTTTATATTCTAAAGACGGGGGGGCAGTAAAAATCAAAAGAAATTCATCAAAACGCATGTCAGCTGTTTGCACTCACCTGTGCATACGCACCGTATTGATGGGCGCTGTTGTGCGATTTCAACACATATTGCGAAGCGCTAGTTCATGGATTTGGAGTGCGCATACCCCCCGCAGATTTGCGCTGATTCTTGACGGCGTATGCCCCCCACCCATGTGAATGAGCCTTGGTTTAGGGCCTCATTCACATGGGGTGAATCAATGCGTACCCTATGCAGGGCCCCATGTGGCACAGGTGCATCCCTATGCAGCCAATCACATTCATGTCAGCTGGGATGCAGCAGCTGCACAGACAAAGCCGCTACTTCCAGTATGACATCCATGTCAGTACCGGGGGCTGGATCTAGCCAATCTGATCTGGGGGGGGCTCAGTAAAAAAAGTCTGGCGGCATGATGGCAACACTGTGCGTGAGTCACTGACAGTCCGTCACACCGTGTCATGACCTGGCAAACACTCCTTACATCAGGAGTCCTCATCAGAGTCCCTCTTTACATCAGATTCCCATCAGAGTGCCCCCTTACGTCAGGTGTCCCCATCAGAGTGCCCCCTTACATCAGGTGTCCCCATCAGAGTGCCCATTTACATCAGGTGGCCCCATCGGAGTGCCCCTTACATCAGGTGTCCCCCGTATCAGAGTGCCCATTTACATCAGGTGGCCCCATCGGAGTGCCCCTTACATCAGGTGTCCCCATCAGAGTGCCCCCTTACATCAGGTGTCCCCATCAGAGTGCCCCTTACATCAGGTGTCCCCATCGGAGTGCCCCCTTACATCAGGTGGCCCATCACCCCCTCCTCCCCCCCCCCCCCCCCCCCCCCTCCCCCCCCCCCCCCCCCCCCCCCCCCCCCCCCCCCCCCCCCCCCCCCCCCCCCCCCCCTCCGAGTGCCCCTTACATCAGGTGTCCCCATCAGAGTGCCCCCTTACATCAGGCGTCCCCATCAGAGTGCCCCTTACATCAGGTGTCCCCATCGGAGTGCCCCCTTACATCAGGTGGCCCCATCGGAGTGCCCCTTACATTAGGTATCCGCATCAGAGTGCCCCTTACATCAGGTGGCCCCATCGGAGTGCCCCTTACATCAGGTGTCCCCATCGGAGTGCCCCCTTACATCAGGTGTCCCTATCAGAGTGCCTCCTTACATCAGGTGTTCCTATCAGAGTGCCTCCTTAATCAGGTGTCATCATCAGAGTGCCCCTTTACATCAGTGTCCCCATCAGAGTGCCCCCTTACATCAGTGTCCCCATCAGAGTGCCCCCTTACATCAGGTGTCCCCATCCAAGTGCCCCCTTACATCAGGTGTCCCCATCAGAGTGCCCCCTTACATCAGTGTCCCCCATCAGAGTGCCCCCTTACATCAGTGTCCCCATCAGAGTGCCCCCACATCATTGTCCCCATCAGAGTGCCCCTTACATCAGTGTCCCCATCAGAGTGCCCCCTTACATCAGTGTCCCCATCAGAGTGCCCCTTACATCAGGTGTCCCCATCAGAGTGCCTCCTTACATCAGGTGTCCCCCATCAGAGTGCTCCCTTACATCAGGTGTCCCCATCAGAGTGCCCCCTTACATCAGGTGTCCCCATCCGAGTGCCCCCTTACATCAGGTGTCCCCATCCAAGTGCCCCCTTACATCAGGTGTCCCCATCAGAGTGCCCCCTTATATTAACTATCTGCATCTGGCTTCTGGATTAGTGGATGTAATCTCAGAGACCTGGGGTGGCATAACTGAAATCTGGGGGGGGGGGGGGGGGGGTCAGCCCACCCCAGCACCCCCCTAGATCAGACCCTTGTGAGTGCACAGCACTGAATGCAAACGTGCGTTTGGGGACATGCGCATGCACACAGACCCGCACGGACCTGAATGGAAGAGCAGAGACCCCGAGACCTCAAGACCTCAAGACCCCGAGACCCTGAGACCCGAGACCCCGAGACCCCGAGACCACGAGACCCTGAGACCCCATCGGTCATCACTAACTATAGTGGTGATTTGTGGAAGCAAAACTTGAGCCGGTGTCCTCAGGGACCACACAGACCTCATTCTCAGGACTTCACTTCTCCTTCAAACCACCCAAAACTATGAACCGGAGAGGACAGAAATTCAGGAACTGCTAGCGCTGACCTGTAGTCTAAGGTGTCATTTACTTTCCATGAAGATACAGATATCCCTCCACCCCCCCTGACCACAGTCACGCTCCCCATCTGCAGGGCCGAGATCTCCGCTGACAAGGGTGACAACGCTGCTGCTAATGGCAAGTGATCAGCTGAGTGTTGTCAGGTTGCAAACAGGAAGTGCCGCTAGTGGCAGGATCACCGGGAACTTTGCTAGAAATTGTTGAAAAGTGGAACTTGGCTGCCTACCTAAAAGCAGGACAATATTTAGAGGAGGCGGCTCACAAGCCACGGCCGGGATGCTCTGCTTCATGCCGAATTTACATCTTCATGAGCATCTCCCCTACATAAGAGTCCAGATCAGAGTCCCCCCTTACATTGGAGACTCCATCAGAGTCTTCCCTTACATCAGGGTCCAGATCAGAGTCCCCCCTTACATCAGAGACTCCATCAGAGTCTCCCCCTACATCAGGGTCCAGATCAGAGTCCCCCCTTACATCAGAGACTCCATCAGAGTTTCTCCTTACACCAGGGTCCAGATCAGAGTCCCCCCTTACATCAGAAACTCCATTAGAATCCCCCCTATTGGGGTTCAGATCAGAGTCCCCCCTTACATCAGAGTCCCCCCTATTGGGGTTCAGATCACAGTCCTCCCTTACATGAGAGTCCTCATCAGAGTCCTCCCTAAAATCGGTGTCCAGATCAGAGTCCCCCTTACATAAGAAACCCCAGCAAAGTCTCACCTTATATCAGGGCCACCACAAGAGTCCCCCCTTACATCTGTGTTCAGATCACAGTCCTCCCTTACATCAGAGACCCCATCAGAGTCCCCCCTTACATCATGGTCCAGATCATAGTTCCCTCTTACATCAGAGACTCCATCAGAGCCCTCCCCTTACATCAGGGTTCAGATCACAGTTCTCCCTTACATGAGAGTCTGTTTCAGAGTCCCCCCTTATATCAGAGTCCAGATCATAGTGCTCCCTTACATGAGGTCCTCATCAGAGTCCCCTTTACATCAGGGTTCAGATGAAATCCTCCCTTACATGAGAGTCCCCTTTACATGAGAATACCCATCAGAGTCCACCCCTTTTATCAAGGTCCATAGTCCCCATCAGAGTCCCCCCTTATATCAGAGTCCAGATCATAGCCCCCCCTTACGTGAGGTCTTCATCAGAGTCCCCCTTACAGCAGGGTTCAGAACAAGTCCTTCCCTACATGGGAGTCCCCCTTACATGAGAATCCCCATCAGGGTCCCTCCTTTAATCTGGATCCAGAGTCCCCATCAGAGTGCGCCCTTATATCAGGGTCCAGATCAGAGTCCCCCCTTACATGAGCGTCCCCTCAGAGTCCCTCCTTACCAGGGAGTCCCTCGATTCACGGTTGCAAGCAAATGCCATATTTGATTGTGTTTGTGTGTTTTAAAATGAAAGTGAGTTTCTTGTTATAAATACCCCCGGTACAGAGCACGTTTGCTGTGTATATAAATGTTTGCCAAAATCAAAAGTCCAGAAGCACAACTGGAATCCACCACAGCCTCTGGGTTTCTGAGTGCCGCTTTCCTGAACTTCCAACTGGGAGAGCCCACTCATCATGTCTTTGGAAGTCCCCCTGCCTATCCCCCCCCCCCCTCCTTGAGATTTCATGCCCCATGATGCCAATAGTTACATGTCCCATTGAGCCCACTCTGGCTGTCCGTGCACAGAGTCATTGCACATGTAGTTCTGCATTTAGCCAGCTCTGATTGCTGTTGTATATCAAAGGGTGACTCCATAGGACCAGCAAGCATCCCTCACCTCTCTTTGTTTACATTCAGCTGTCGGTCAGGAGATTCCTGTCATTGCCTGGACATGGCCACGACCATATTTAGGTAATGATGTCATCAAGCAAACCCCCCCCCCCCCCCTTTTGTTTACATTCAGCTGCCAGTCAGGAAATGTGGCTATTACCATATGATAATCAACTAGAATCCCCTCCCTTTGTTTCCATTCAGTCGTGGGTCAGGAACCTCCTGGCTGGCAGTCGAACGGGGGCTGGAGGTGCATCATTGGTTGCTAGGAAGCCAGCGGACGCCGGCCTCCTAGCAACCACAAGCAGGAAACAGGAAGCTGTCATATTCATAACGGCTTCCCGACACAAAATGCCACTGAGCATTGGCGTCTCTCAGAATTGGGCCTCAATCACTGCCAGTATGCTTATCTGTGGAAAAAAAAAATGGCTTCAGCAGAAAAAGGGTTAAAAGGACGACTGGGGGAATAACTAAAAAGTGACAAATTTTGCCTCAACTGGAGCTCAGCCAATCAGGGTTTGAATATTGATTGTTCAATTTGTAAGCTGCGAGAGGAAAAAAAAAGATGGAAGCTGACTGGTTGCTACGAGCAACAGCACCGATTTACCCCCAAATTTCAATTTTCAATCTTTTATAGTGAACCTATAGACTTTATATTATATAATAGTGTAATATATAATATTCTATCTTTTATTTTATATCACTTTATGGAACTTTAATGACTTTCTGACGCTTCTCTGCTGGCTTCTGTAACTCATAGCAACCCCCTCAGTCATCGCTGTACAGGGACGCAGCGTGACGTCAGCACGCATACGTCCATCACCGCTGTACGAGAGGACGTCGGCGACATCAACACGCATGTGTGTAGATACCATAGAGAGGAGAGCAGGGTAGTCGTACGTTCTAGCCCGTAGGTAACTCGGTGGTAGCCCGACGTGCTCTTCTGTCCTCACTTCCTGTTTCCGGTCCTTCTCTTACGCGGCTTGGCAAGATGGTGAGTGTTGTGCAGATGGTCCTCATCCGAATCCGCTTCCATCCTCCGTGCTGGGCCGGTGTGTGGCGGGCTGTGGTGACGAGTTATCATTGGCTGGCTCTGTGGTGGTGAGGGATGTGGCCTGGAGGTCAGGGATGGGGCCAGGACCGGGTCCTCCAGGGACTGGTGTTAGCAGAGAAGGGGCGGTCTGCGGCTCTGTATCACGGGCCCTCCTGTCTCATCAGCGGGGGCTTCTTCTGTACTGTCGATGGGATGGGAGGGGAGTTAGGCCCTAGCTGTGTGTAGGTCAGTGACCATAACAATAGGTAGGCCGCAGGACCAGATCTAAGGCTGCTGCTGGTCACCTGGGGTCTGATTGCAGCCCCTTCCAGTCTCTGCCCTCTCCAGTGAGGGCTGCATGATATTTCTCATGGCGGGGCTCCTGATGGTGACAACGATGGGTCATGCTGGTGTGATCTGTTTGATCTGGCACTCGGTTGTCATTGAAAGTCGATGTGACAACACAGGAGCACAATTGGAAGACCAATTGAAGAGAGAGAGTGCGTTGTCACCCTTCCAAGGAGGGAGTGGAGTGTTAACATCGCAGTCAAGGGAGATGGGGGAAGGAGTGTTGTCAGCATGCCCCCAAGAGAGGGAGACGCGGAGGGAGCATTGCCACCGTGCCCCCAAGAGGGTGAGACGCGAAGGTAGGGTTGCCAGAGCGCCCCCAAGAGGGTGAGACGCGGAGGGAGGGTTGTCGGCGCGCCCCCAAGAGGGTGAGACGCGGAGGGAGGGTTGTCGGCGCGCCCCCAAGAGGGTGAGACGCGGAGGTAGGGTTGTCGGCGCGCCCCCAAGAGGGTGAGACGCGGAGGGAGGGTTGTCGGCGCGCGCCCCAAGAGGGTGAGACGCGGAGGGAGGGTTGTCGGCGCGCCCCCCAAGAGGGTGAGACGCGGAGGGAGGGTTGTCGGCGCGCCCCCAAGAGGGTGAGACGCGGAGGGAGGGTTGTCGGCGCGCCCCCAAGAGGGTGAGACGCGGAGGGAGGGTTGTCGGCGCGCCCCCAAGAGGGTGAGACGCGGAGGGGTGAGGGTTGTCGGCGCGCCCCCAAGAGGGTGAGACGCGGAGGGAGGGTTGTCGGCGCGCCCCCAAGAGGGTGAGACGCGGAGGGAGGGTTGTCGGCGCGCCCCCAAGAGGGTGAGACGCGGAGGGAGGGTTGTCGGCGCGCCCCCAAGAGGGTGAGACGGAGGAGGGAGGGTTGTCGGCGCGCCCCCAAGAGGGTGAGGCGCGGAGGGAGGGTTGTCGGCGCGCCCCCAAGAGGGTGAGACGCGGAGGGAGGGCCCCTCCAATAAAGGGAGATGGAGGAGGGGGCATTGTCATCCCCCTACAGGGTTGACCTCCATCTACATATGTAATGAGAATTTCCAGCATTGCCCTGCTATGATCCCCTGCACTACCGCCGCACACCTTGCCCCGTGTTGCCACCTTTGCTTCTGACGTCATCGCGTGCCGATTCCTGTGAATGGAAAGTGACACACATTCCTAGGGGGCTTCAACACGGAGGGGAACCAGAAAAGGCAGAAAAAGTAAAAAATGTAAACAAGTGACTGTGCCATTGTAGATTGTTTGGGCTGCAGCGGTGCCCAGCGCCTCTTCGGGGGTGAAGGTCCTCCTCCTTTAGTGTATTCATGATCAGAGTTGTACCGATGTCTCTCCCATCATCCCAGCGTTCAGCTTTATTCCTCTGTTTGCAGGTGAACGTCCCAAAAACCCGCCGAACCTACTGCAAGAAATGTGGGAAGCATCAGCCTCACAAAGTCACCCAGTACAAGAAGGGGAAAGACTCCCTCTACGCCCAGGGTAAGGAGGAACAGGAGTCTTCTTCATTGTCATGTTCTAGAAATGAGCCTTTGGCCTCATTCACATGTGTGTACCTTTCTGTACCCCCCACGGGGGGGGGGGGGCTGTCCTCACGCAGGCGGGCGCGTGGGCCCCAAACGCACAGAGAGTAGACACGTGCACACCGCATCGGCTGTCTTAACCACTTCCAGTCCGGACACTTTCACCCCCTTCCTGTCCAGGCCAATTTTCAGCGCTATCACACTTTGAATGACAATTGCGCGGTCATGCAACACTGGACCCCGTATGAATTTTTTAGCATTTTTTTTTTTTTAGACAGTTAAAGCTTTATTTTGGTGGTATTTTATTCACCACTGTGATTTTTTTTTTTTTTTTTTGGAAATTAAAAAGTCCAAAAATTCAAAAAAAAAGTGTTTTTCTTATAAAATTTTGCAAATAATATTTCATCATAAATCTTGGCCAAAATTTATTCTATTTGTAGTAAAAAAAATAACCCAAATTAGTTTAATAACCAAAAATTATAATTTTTAAACATTTTCTTTTTATTTTTTTTATTATTATTTTTTTTTTATTTATTTTTTTTACATCCGGTCACCCTAGTAGTACAGTGTCACCATAGTGACTGTACTACTTGTGGGGGGTGATGAAGATTTTTTTTTTTTTTTTTTTTTTTTTTTTTTTTTTTTTTACACTGATTTCTTTTACACCCATAAAGGCTGTAAAAGCAATCATTTCTCTCCTTCTCCTCTGTCTGCATTCCTGCAGCCATTGAGAAATACTGTGTGAACTGTGATTGGTCACATCTTGTCACATGGTACAAGGCTGTTGTGAATAGCCCTGTACCATAGGATCTCTGTGATCATTCACAGATTTTACACGTAGTAAGCAATGATGTCACAAGTGACATCTTGCTTCCTTCTCTGCATGTGATCACTGATTGGCCAATCAGGGATCACATGATCGGGACCTCGTACAGAGGTCCCGTCCGACGATCGGTGTTCCAATGCGTCCAGAGGACACAGCAGGCACCGGATCGCGGTGCTGCGCGCTCCCAGGGAGCGCGCACAAGCAGGGTGCGGGGAGGTTGTTTATAAACGGCCACCTGACCCTGCACTGCCACCGTCCGGCCGTTTATATAAATGGGCCCGGACGGGAGGTGGTTAATTGGGACCAGCGCCTGCATCACGTTAGCTGTTACCAAGCTTTATTTTCAGTCGTCGGGATCCCTGGATTCATATTGTAAGAAAACAAAATGGCAGTTGACTAGTTGGCAGTTCATATTGTAACCCTTCTCCTCCGTTCTCCGCAGGAAAGAGGCGATATGACCGCAAGCAGAGCGGATACGGCGGGCAGACCAAGCCGATCTTCCGTAAAAAGGTCAGTTGACAGCGAAACGTTTTCGTTACCAGGATGAGTGGACGCATTGTTGTAGTTGGATGCGTCCCAATCCTTTGAACCGGGAATTCTGATCCGACTCCAGGATATCGGTTTTCGAAGTGGAACAGATTTTCTTTTTAGCTCTGGATTCAGTGTAAAGTTTTATTTTCGCATTGCCTCGAAATGAAGGGAGACGCGGACGGTGGAGATGAAACTCTAGCGTTTTATTTATTTATTTCAGGTCCTTATATAGCGCCATCAATTTACACAGCGCTTTACATATATATTGTACATTCACATCAGTCCCCCGCCCCCGAGGAGCGTACAATCTAAGGTCCCTAACTCACATTCATACACATACTAGGGCCAATTTAGACAGGAGCCAATTCACCTACCAGCATGTCTTTGGAGTGTGGGAGGAAACCAGAGTACCCAGAGGAAACCCACGCAGGCACAGGGAGAACATGCAAACTCCAGGCAGGAGGTGCTGTGGCTGGGATTCAAACCAACGACCCGAGTACTGCTAGGCGGAAGTGCTAACCATTTAGCCATGGTGTGATACTAGCATTGAAAAATGGAACTCCGGTCTTCCTTACAGTCCCGTAGTGGCTGTTCTGGACTGAAATGACTGAAAGGATAAGTTCACCTTTTCGAAAAGAGAAAAAAAAATAATAAATGCATATTTTGTTTGCAGGTAAAAAAAAAAAAATGTGTATTTATTATTTTTGGTTGCAGGAGCCTGTAAAGTATTGCGCCAGCGATCAGCCGATCACTGGTGCCACGCAGGTCTCCTGCAGACCTGTCAGAATATCTAAAATTGTGGAAAGTGAAGTAAACGCTAAAAAAAAGAAAAGCAGCTGAACACACTAAAAGGTAAACCAAATGTCTTCAAAGTAATCTAAAAAATATGCTGGTGCCGCGCTAAGATGATAAACAGTAAAAAAACAAATTCAAATGACATAAACGCACATATATGATAAAATGCGTTTTGCTCATAAAATATACTCACGCAGTAATTATAAGCTCTTTATAGTCTGACGAATAGATAAGTAAGTAAAGGTGCAAATGTCCACAATAAAATGCATGAGAGATCAGACCTGATTTTATTGACTTTTTTATGATCCTAAGTGACTTCAGTAAAATCCCAGTGTGCTTATTCTACTTAAGTGGGTGTGCCAATAAATATATAAAATGCACACTCACCAGATGCGCTTTTTATTAGCGCATCTGGTGAGTGCGCATTTTAAGCTTTTATTGACTTTTTTTTTTTTATGATCCTCACGCATTTTATGGTTATGCGTTTTATTGTGGACCTTTGCACTTTTACTTATCTATTTGTCAGACTATAAAGAGCTTATAGTTGTCAGAATATCTGTTTGAGCAAGCTGACATTCTGATGGGATGAATGAACCACTACAGTGCTTCACAGCGCCCTGGTAGTTCATTGAGGACTACAAGCTGACATTGAGTGACGCGGCTGTGTGGGTGGAGCCCCGCTAGCGGTCAAAGCAGGGATCTGGGGAGAGGGGCTGGTCTAAATATGGTTACAAAAGGTGAACTTCTCTTTAACCAATTCAATACCGGGCAATTTTACACCTTCCTGCCCAGGCCATTTTTCACGTTTCAGCGCTCTCAACACTTTGACAATTGCGCGGTCATACAACATTGTACCCAAGCTAAAATTTTATCATTTTCTTCACACAACTAGAGCTTTCTTTTGGTGGTAATTAATCACCGCTGGGGTTTTTATTTTTTGCTAAATTAACAAAAAAAAAGACCAAAAACTTTGAAAAAAAAAAACACATTTTTTCTTTGTTTCTGTTATAAAAGTTTACAAATAAATAATTGTTCTTCATAAATTTAGGCCGAGATGTATTCTGCTACATGTCTTTGGTGAAAATAACCCAAATTAGGATGTATTATTTAGTTTGTAGGAAAGTTATAGAGTTCACAAACTATGGGATAGATCTGAATATTGATCAATCCTGAAGTACTGACAGCCAATCTAATTTCTTGAGGTCCAAGAATGTCAGAACAGTCCAGATATCCCCCAAATGTCAGGACAGTCCAGATATCCCCCAAATGTCAGGACAGTCCAGATATCCCCCAAATGTCAGGACAGTCCAGATATCCCCCAAATGTCAGGACGGTCCAGATATCCCCCAAATGTCAGGACGGTCCAGATATCCCCCAAATGTCAGGACGGTCCAGATATCCCCCAAATGTCAGGACGGTCCAGATATCCCCCAAATGTCAGGACGGTCCAGATATCCCCCAAATGTCAGGACGGTCCAGATATCCCCCCAAATGTCAGGACGGTCCCAGATATCCCCCAAATGTCAGGACGGTCCAGATATCCCCCAAATGTCAGGACGGTCCAGATATCCCCCAAATGTCAGGACGGTCCAGATATCCCCCAAATGTCAGGACGGTCCAGATATCCCCCAAATGTCAGGACGGTCCAGATATCCCCCAAATGTCAGGACGGTCCAGATATCCCCCAAATGTCAGGACGGTCCAGATATCCCCCAAATGACCCCTTTTTGCAGAGTAGACAGTCCGACGTACTTCATAAGAGGCATGGCGAGTTTTTTGAAGTTGTATTTTTTTTTGTCATAATTTTTCGGAAAATGAAAAAATTAAAAAAAATTATTTTCACTATTTGTTTTTTTTTTTTACATACTGTCACCAGTGCAGTACAGCATCATCATATAACTGGCATGGCGGTAAACAGGGACACTGACTGGTGACAGTGTGAAAAAAAAAAATATGTATATTTTTTTTTTTTTTTTTTATCATTTTTAATTTTTTATTACATTTTTTTTATTTTTTTTTAAGATTTTTTTTTTTCAGATTTTACTATGACCAAAGTAGTACAATGTTACCATAGTAACACTGTACTACTTTGGGAAAGTGATCAGTATTATTATTTTTTTTGTTTTTTGTTTTTTTACACAATTTTGCTTATAGCAAAGAATTACTTTGCTATAAGCAAGCATTTACTTGAATGACATCGATTCATTCAGGGTTTTTTTTTTTTTTTTTTTGTGCTTAGCTGTGATTTGGTCACAGCTAATCACATGACATGTGCATGTGATTAGCTGTGACCATTCACAGCTAGGCACTAGTATACAATGGATGGCATCATGAATGAAGCCATCCATTGTATACAACTGCCATGGGACCTGCTGTGATTGGTCACAGCAGGTCACATGGTACCGGCAACGGGAGCCGGTACTCGGATCTGTCATCGGCCGTGTCCGAGGTGCACGGGCGGTGACAGATCGCGCTGCTGCGCCGCTCTGCATTAGCGCAAACTGCGCATGTGCGGGAGTACGCCAAATGGCGTACTTTTATAACCACTTTAAGGCTGAGGGATCTTGAGACGAGGCAGGCAGAGTGCTGTGATTTCTTCTCAAAAAGCTATGTACAGCATCCTGCCAGCCCTTCCCACCAGCTGTGATCTGCCTGAATTGCATAGAGAAGCACAGAGACCTAGTGATAATGTGACTAGGTCACTAATAAGGTGTGTAATTAAAGCGGAAAGGTTTTATTCATATAAAAAATAAAATTGCATGTTAATGAGGGAAAAGAGGGGGGAACCAAAAAGGCAAAATATAAGCAGATTAAACTTCAGCTTTTAAAAAATAAAAAAATGACCGTTTCACTGACAGTAGAGTCTGAACAAGCGTTTGCGCTCCCTATCTCGTAACGTCATGTAGCGCTGTAGGAGGAGTGTGATTACAATTGTGTATTTGCTTTATATTCCGCATCTTTAGGTGTGGTTTATGTACACTGTATTATCCAGATGTGTATCCATGTTTTGAATCGGCAGTTCAAATTTCCCTCAGGATTTTCAAAGTTTTTTTTTTTTTTCTCTTTTTTTTTTTTTTCTTTTTTCTTCTCCTTTTTTTCTTTTTTCTTCTCCTTTTTTTCTTTTTTCTTCTTTTTTTTTTTCTTTTTTCTTCTCCTTTTTTTCTTTTTTCTTCTCCCTTTTTTCTTTTTTCTTCTCCCTTTTTTTCTTTTCTTTTTTTTTTCTCTTTTCTTCTCCTTTTTTTTTTCTCTTTTCTTCTCCTTTTTTTTTTCTCTTTTCTTCTCCTTTTTTTTTTTCTCTTCTCTTCTCCTCCTTTTTTTTTTCTTTATTTTTCTTTTTTCTTCTCCCTTTTTTTCTCTTTTCTTCTCCTTTTTTTTTTTCTCTTTTCTTCTCCTTTTTTTTTTTCTTTATTTTTCTTTTTTTTTTCTCCCTTTTTTTTTTCTTTTTTTCTTTTTTCTTCTCCCTTTTTCTTTTTTTTTTCTCCCTTTTTTCTTTTTTTTCTTTTTTTTCTTCTTTTTTTTTTTCTTTTTTCTTCTCCCTTTTTTTTTTTTTTTGATTACTTGGTGTTCTTATAAAAATGTCTTTGCGGTTGTGTAGGCCAAGACCACCAAGAAGATTGTGCTGAGGCTGGAGTGCGTCGACTCAAACTGCCGATCAAAGCGGATGTTGGCTATAAAGAGATGCAAGCACTTTGAGCTTGGAGGTGACAAGAAGAGAAAGGTGAGCCTTTGGCTGTCAAACATTTACACCCCGTTCACACTTGGGCATTCTGTATTATTTTTTTTCTTTTTTTTAAATACTCATGGAGAAAAAAAAAAATTAAAACCTCAATGCATCTATATGGCGATCTCCACCCCAAAACACCTGAAGCTCAAAAAAGTTTTGGCGTTAAGTGTGTAGCTCTATTGGGGCGTTTTTAAGTAGTGGTGCACTGAAATGAAAATTCTGGTGCCGAAACCGAAATTCAAAACGCTGTTGACCGAAATGCGCAGTTTTTAAAAATGAATATATATTTTTTGGACAAAAATACACTTTGATTAAAAAAAACCCACAGAAAGCAATATATACCCCAATAAAAAATGAAAGGATGTAATGGTGAGTAAATAGATACCAAACATGTCACGCTTTAAAGTTGCGCACGCTCGTGGAATGGCGTGAAACTGCGGTACTTAAAAATCTCCATGGGTGATGCTTTAAAGAATTCTCTACAGGTTAGCAGTGTAAAGTTACAGAGGGGGTCTAGTGCGAGAATTACTGCTCTTGCTCCGACGTTCCTGGCGATACCTCACACGTGTGGTGTGAACACTTTTAATATTTGTGGGCGTGGCCTATGTATGCATTCAGCACTACAGGGGGAGACGGGGGCACTTTAAATTTAAAAAAAATTGTTGTTTTTTTTTTTTTTTTCTTTGCGCTCTGTCCCTTTTTTAAAAATAATTTTAATCACTTTTATTATCGCAGGAAATGCATGCATCCCTTGTGATAGAAGTAATTAGTGACAGGTCCTCTTTATGGAGAGATATGGGGTTAGTGAGACATAATTAGTGACAGGTCCTCTTTATGGAGAGATATGGGGTCAGTGAGACATAATTGGTGACGGGTCCTCTTTATGGAGAGATGGGGTCAATAAGACCCCACATCTCTCCTCTGTAATGTAAAACATTGGATCAAAAAAAAAAAGCATTGCTCTAGTGCAGTGTTTCTCAACTCCAGTCCTCATGGACCCCAAACAGGTCATGTTTTCAGGATTTCCCTCAGATGAAACAGCTGTGGTAATTACTAAGGCAGTGAAACTGATCAAAATCGCCTGTGCAAAATAATGGAAATCCTGAAAACATGACCTGTTGGGGGTCCATGAGGACTGGAGTTGAGAAACACTGCTCTAGTGCTTTAAAAAAAAAAAAAAAAAAATGTCCGGAACGGGAAGTGACATCACTCCGGTCCTCCAAGGGCATAGAGATGAGTGGCGGCCATCTTTCCTTCACTCATCTCTATGCCCAGCGCCGGGATTGATGGTTTCTCAGGTAAGAGAGAAGTAAGAGAACTAGCGAGGGGCGGGGTTTTTCGGCACCTGTATCGGTGCTTTTTTCCCATAACGGCCGAAAGGGGTGTTTTCAACCGAAACATTTTGACCACTGAAATTTCGGTGCATCCCTAGTTTTAAGTCCCACAGAATAGCATCGGTGTGCGCAAAGAAAAATTGCACTATGTGTATTTTGTCACTTTTATGCGTGTTTTCAAGCTGATACGTCCACACCGCAACAAATGATGTCACAGAGGATACTTTTCTCTATAGGCGATACAAAAACTGCAGCTCAGATACTGGAACAAAACGCAGCACTTGGGTTCAAGTGCAGCCGTAATGTCTGTGTAGCTTGACTCCCTAAAGTGGTATTAAAGCAGATTTTTTTTTTTTTTTTGTTTTTTTTATTGCATGGCCCCCAGGTCTGCTCATGCTATAATGTACTAGGTAGCATCGCATTTTATCCATTTCAGCCCCAAGCCATTTCTGACACCATTTTGTTTATATTTTTTAAAAACAGTATTTATTTATTTATTTTTTTTAAAGCCGAGGCCCTAGAGAATAAGTTGATGGTTGTTTGCATTTTTTTTTTTTTTTTTAAACTCCCTTATTATTATTTTTTTTAAAGCCTTATTTTTAAACCCCTTAGATTTTTTCTTTTTTTAGTTTTTTAGATTTTTAAACTCCCTAATTTTTTCTTTTTTTAGTTTTCTTAGATTTTTACCGAGGCCCTAGAAATTTTTCGATTTCTTTTTTTTACACTCCCTTTTTTTTTTTCGTTTTCTTATTTTTTAAATCCCTAATTTTTTTTTTTTTTAAAAGCCTTATATTTTTACACTCTCTTGGTTTTTTTTTTTTTTTTTTTTTTAAATCCCTAATTTTTTTTTTTTTAGTTTTTTTTTTTTAAGCACTCCCTAGAAATTTTGATGGGGGTTTTTAGTTTTTTAGATTTTTTTAAATCCCTTAATTTTTTTTTTTTTTTTTTAAAAGCCGAGGCCCTAGAAAATAAGTTGATATCTTAGATTTTTACACTCCCTTAATTTTTTTTTTTTTTTTTAAATCAGTATTTTTTTGCGTTTTCTTATCTATTTAATTTTTTCGTTTTCCCTAGATTTTTAAGTTCCCTTAATTTTTTTTTTTCTTAGTATTTTTACACTCCCTTAATTTTTTTTTTTTTTTTTTAGTTTTTTAGATTTTTACACTCCCCTTAATAAGTTGATTTTTTTTTTAGTTTTCTTAGATTTTTTTAACTCGGTATTTTTTATTTTTAGTTTTCCGAGATTTTTACACTCCCTTAATTTTTTTTTTTTTTAGTTTTTTTATGATTTTTACATCCCTATGTTGTTTTTTTTTTTTTTTTTTTTTTTTTTTCACTCCCTTAATTTTTTTCGCAGCAGTTTTTTAGATTTTTTACACTCCCTTAATTTTTTTTCTGCACTTTGTTTTCTTAGATTTTTACAATGCCCTAATTTTTTCAGTATTTTCTTAATTTTTAAAATCCCTTAAGCTTTTTCATTTTCTTAAATAGATACAAACTGCCTTAACTTTTTCTTTTTTACGTTTTCTTAGATTTTTAACTCCCTTAATTTTTTTCTTTTAGGCGACGACGCTTTTTTTTCTTAGATTTTTACACTCCCTTAAAAGCTTTTTTTAGTTTTCTTAGTTTTTACACTCCCTTAATTTTTTCTTTTTTTAGTTTTGTTAGATTTTTACACTCCACTTAATTTTATTTTTTTTGTTTTCTTTGGTTTTGTTTTTTTTATCACTTTTCTTGCTTTCATAAGGGAATGGGTGGCACATGCCCCTGTGACAGCAGGATCCCGCTCACTATTTTTATGGAGGGATCCGTGAGACCCCCCCCCCCCCAAATCCCTCTTTGCACTTGAAACCGCATTCAGAACCCTAAGATGGATGTTTTTGAATGCTTTCAGATTTTAAAAATGGTGCCGGAAGATGAAGTGAACTGAGAGTGAAGTCAGGTCTTCGAGCTGGTTTATTATAATGGAGGGCTGATTCCCCTTTGGCCCCCACACACAGTTAGCCGTTGGACACCCCGGCACTCACGATTGTTAAAGGGGGTCCAGCGGCCACCCACCCCTGGAAGTTGGCTGAGGGCATCCTTCCTCTGACATGGGTGGTCGGAAGGATCCCCTCACATTGGCTTGCCACTGACGTTGGTGCCAGAACTATGCACCAATCAGGAGATCGGCTCTCCACTGCTCATTTGGTAGCCTCTGGAGTAATCCTACCTTAGAGATGCTCTGCAGATGCCTCATATGGATGTACTGCTGCTGTTCTTGATTGAAAAATGTTACTATGCGGTTTTTGATGACTTGTCCCTTTTTGTGCATGGTGTGTGTGTGGGCGTGGTGTGTGCGCTTTTGTGTACTTATTTTAGTTGTATGCAAAAGCTATTGGTCCACATCTGATTTTATTTTCTCTCTCTCTCTCTCTTCACACAGGGACAAGTCATCCAGTTCTAAGCTGTATCATCACTTTTGAAAGCAAAATAAAATCTTCAAAATTCAATGTCAAGTGTTTATTTTTTTTTTTTTTTTTTCTGGTAAACCAAAATGCTAGATAAAGTAAAAAAAAAAAAAAAAAACTGGTGTTCTTGTTGCATTACATAGTCTAGGCCAGGGGTAGGCAACCTGCGGCTCTCCAGCTGTTATTATTATTTATTATTATTACAGTATTTATAAAGCGCCAATAGTTCGCTCAGCGCTGTACATGAGACAGTACAACAATACAATGCGATACACGAGGGGATCGAGGGCCCTGCTCCTTGGAGCTTACAATCTAGGAGGGAGGGGATGGTGGTACAGGAGGAGATAGCTGTGGGGGATGGAGCGGTAGGAAGAGTGGAGGAGATCGGCAATTAGCAGGGGGTGGGGTAGGCTTCCCTGAAGAGATGGGTTTTCACGGAGCACCTAGGGTAGGTGATAGTCTGATGGATTGGGGTAGGGAGTTCCAGAGAATGGGTGAAGCCCTGGAGAAGTCCTGGAGGCGGGCATGGGAGGAGGAGACCAGGGAACTAGAGAGAAGGAGGTCTTGTGAGGAGCGGAGTGTGCGTGTTGGGCGGTACTTGGATATTAGGTCAGTGATGTAGTTCGGGGCAGTATGGTGGACGGCTTTGTACATCAGTGTTAGGATTTTGAATTGGATCCGTTGGGCAATCGGAAGCCAGTGGAGGGATTGGCAGAGGGGGGTGGAGGACACTGAGTGGAAGCCAGTGGAGGGATTGGCAGAGGGGGGTGGCGGAGATGGAGCGGTTGGTAAGGTGAATGAGTCTGGCAGCCGTATTCAGGATGGACTGAAGCGGGGTGATAGCCAGCGGCGAGGCAGGCCAGCGTGAGGAGGGAGTTGCAGTAGTCGAGTCGTGATATGATGAGGGAGTGGATGAGCTGTTTAGTGGTTTCTGGGGTTAGGAACGTGCGGATTTTGGCGATGTTGCGGAGGTGGAGTCTGCATGAGTTTGTCAGTGATTGGATTTGGGGCTGGAAGGACAGATTGGAGTCTAGGATGACACCTAGTACTCTGGCCTGTGGGGTGGGACTGATGGTGGAGTTGTTGGTTGTGATGGAGAAGTCGGGGGGGGGGGGGGGCACGGGCTGGGGGGAAGACTAGGAGCTCGGTTTTGGCAAGGTTCAGGATGTGGAGTGACATCCAATCTGATATGTCGTTCAGAAGGCTAGTGATTCGGGCGGAGACTGAAGGGGTGAGGTGGGGGGTAGAGAGATAGATTTGCGTGTCATCAGCATAGAGATGGTAGTTGAAGCCGTGAGAGCTGTTGCAGGACTACAAGTTCCATCATGTCTCTGCAAGTCACAGCTGTATCTGTCAGTTTTGTAATGTTGCAATGCCTCGTGGGAAATGTAGTTCCACAACAGCTAGAGAGCTGCAGGTTGCCTACCCCTGGCCTAGATAAAGGGAACACTTTGGCTTTAGAAGCCTCTGATGAAAGCTGCCCTCCCATGACTGGGTATGTACTGGTTCTGTGACGGTGACCCCACTTGCATTGAAGTTGGGGGGTCAGTTGATGTTCTCTAGAAGTAGAAAGTGCTGCGAGTAAAGAGATGGCGGCTTCTCGCGGTGGTTTCCGAAGCGGGTTTTTGTACTCTGTGACACTGTCGGCTATTAGGGCGAAAGGGATAATTAAACCATCGGTGCCGATAAAGTAGTCTCGGCTGTTGCCAAAAACGGAAGAAAACGCCCATAGAAAAGGAGAGTGTTAGTACATAAAGCGGAGTTCCACTCAAAAAATAAAAGCAGCTACAAAAACTGTCACTTATTGTCCCATGGTGTGTCCCCTGCAGCCCTTTTCACCAGCCGTCCTGGATTCCATGTTTAGTGTGGGCACCCGGCTGTGACAGCTTGCGGCTTCACAGCCGGGTGCCTGCTGCGCATGCGCGAGTAGCGCTGCTTGCTTCATGAATGGTCCTGTAGTCTTCTGGGACCTATCGTGTCCCAAAAGACTACAGGGAGGGAGGACACCTTCCGTTTCCGATCGCCTAGGACCGGAAATGGGAGCAGGTAGCTGTCAAATCTGGGTACCCCCTCCCCCAAAGGTGCCAATCCTTAATGGGGAGCAGTCCTTAAAGTGGAACTTCCCCTTTTGGGTGGAGCTCCACTTTAATTATTCCATGGTGCTAACCATGAATGCAGATAGTGTAAATCAAATATAGGTCCAACTTCACGGGCACAAAACAAACAAGCAGTGGAGTGAGCAAAATGAAAACGTGAGGGAAGGCACCAAGAATCTATGGCAGCTTGAAGAAACTTCCAAGCTGATATTGGAGAACCACTGTTGACTAAAATCCACAGTAAACCAACAGTTTGCTAAGCAGCACATGAGGGTCTGTGACATTGGAAGGTTCTATGGTCGAATAACATTACAAAAAAAAAACAGGCTTTTTAGGCATCGGGGCAAATAATCATGTCTGACAAAACCAAGCACTGCGTGTGATAAATGCATCATCCCTACTGTGAAGCCTGGTGGTGGTAGCATGTTAGATGCTTTTATGCAGCAGTGCCTGAAAGATTTCTCGGTATAGGACAGAATGGAAAAAAAACAAGCTTTATAGCCATCATGCTACACATCATGTTTGACATAACCAAGCACTTCATGCGATAAATGCATCATCCCTACTGTGAAGCCTGGTGGTGGTGGTAGCATGTTATAGAGATGATTTTATGCAGCAGTGCCTGAAAGATTTCTCAGGGTATAGGACACAATGAAAAAAGAATCTTTATAGGCATCAGGCTAAACATCATGTCTGACATAACCAAGCACTGCGTATGATAAATGCATCATCCCTACTGTGAAGCCTGGTGGTGGTGGTAGCATGTTAGATGCTTTTATGCAGCAGTGCCTGAAAGATTTCTCAGGGTATAGGACACAATGAAAAAAGCTTTATAGGCATCAGGCTAAACATCATGTCTGACATAACCAAGCACTTTGTGCGATAAATGCATCATCCCTACTGTGAAGCCTGGTGGTGGTGGTAGCATGTTATGCCCACTGCGCATGCGGGAGAAGCTCTGCACTTCATGAATGATCCTGTAGTCTTCTGGGACCTGTAACAGGGAGAGAGGACACCTTCCGTTTCTGATCACCTAGGCAATTGGACCGGAAATGGGAGCGGGTACCTGTCAAATCTCTTTTTTTTTTATAAAATTTTTTATAGAGATCTTTTTATGCAGCAGTGCCTGAAAGATTTCTCAGGGTATAGGACACAATGAAAAAAGAAGCTTTATAGGCATCATACTAAACATGTCTGACATAACCTAGCACTGTGTGCAATAAATGCATCATCCCTACTGTGAAGCCTGGTGGTGGTGGTAGCATGTTATAGAGATGCTTTTATGCAGCAGTGCCTGAAAGATTTCTCAGGGTATAGGACACAATGAAAAAAGAAGCTTTATAGGCATCATACTAAACATCATGTCTGACATAACCAAGCACTTTGTGCAATAAATGCATCATCTCTACTGTGAAGCCTGGTGGTGGTAGCATGTTATGCCCACTGCGCATGCGGGAGAAGCTCTGCACTTCATGAATGGTCCTGTAGTCTTCTGGGACCTGTAACGGAGAGAGGACACCTTCCGTTTCCGATCACCTAGGCGATTGGACCGGAAATGGGAGCGGGTACCTGTCAAATCTCTTTTTTTTATAAAAATTTTTATAGAGATGTTTTTATGCAGCAGTGCCTGAAAGATTTCTTGGTATGACAGAATGAAAAAAAAAAAAAAACAAGCTTTATAGCCATCAGTCTACACGTTTGACATAACCAAGCACTGTGTGATAAATGCATCATCCGTACTGTGAAGCCTGGTGGTGGTGGTAGCATGTTATAGAGATGCTGTTATGCAGCAGTGCCTGAAAGATTTCTCAGTATAGGACAATGAAAAAAGAAGCTTTATAGGCTTTAGGCTACATGTCTGACATAACCAAGCACTGCGTGTGATAAATGCATCATCCCTACTGTGAAGCCTGGTGGTGGTGGTAGCATGTTAGATGCTTTTATGCAGCAGTGCCTGAAAGATTTCTCAGGGTAATGAACAGAATGGAAAAATAAAAACAAGCTTTATAGGCATCAGGCTACGCATCATGTTTGATATAACCAAGCACTGCGTGTGATAAATGCATCATCCCTACTGTGAAGCCTGGTGGTTGTGGTAGCATGTTATGGAGATGCTTTAATGCAGCAGTGCCTGAAAGATTTCCCAGGGTATAGGACAGAATGGGAAAAAAAAACAAGCTTTATAGGTATCAGGCTAAACATGTCTGACATAACCAAGCACTGCGTGTGATAAATGTATCACCCCTACTGTGAAGCCTGGTGGTGGTGGTAGCATGTTATGCCCACTGCGCATGCGAGAGAAGCTCTGCACTTCATGAATGGTCCTGGGACCTGTCACAGGGAGAGAGGACACCTTCCGTTTCCGATCGCCTAGGCGATTGGACCGGAAATGGGAGCGGGTACCTGTCAAATCTTTTTTTATAAAGTTTTTATAGAGATGTTTTTATGTAGCAGTGCCTAAAAGATTTCTCGGTATAAGACAGAATGAAAAAAAAAAAAAGCTTTATAGGCATCAGGCCACACATCATGTTTGACATAACCAAGCACGGCGCGTGATAAATGCATCATCCCTACTGTGAAGCCTGGTGGTGGTGGTAGCATGTTAGAAGCTTTTATGCAGCAGTGCCTGAAAGATTTCTCAGGGTATAGGACAGAATGAAAAAAAACAAGCTTTATAGGCATCAGGCTACACATCATGTTTGACATAACCAAGGAAAACAAACAAAGCGCATGGGCCTAGTGCATGATCGTAAAAAAATATATATTAAAAGGATAAAAAGTAAGTATCGTACTCACAATGGACATACAGGACAAGGGCACATTACAGGGAACAGCGGTGTCCGATCCACACTGCATACAAGTCCATAAAGGGAACCCTGGTCTTCCAATTGGCTCCTGTACTTCCTTTAGCCAATTGGAAGACCAGGGTTCCCTTTATGGACTTGTATGCAGTGTGGATCGGACACCGCTGTTCCCTGTAATGTGCCCTTGTCCTGTATGTCCATTGTGAGTACGATACTTACTTTTTATCCTTTTAATAAGTATTTTTTTACGATCATGCACTAGGCCGGTGTGCCCTCTGTTTGTTTTCTTTGTTTCCAGTGACTTTGGACTACCCGGTCCGTTGAGGGCAGCAAGGAGTGCATTTTCCAGGACATCTGAATTGTTATCATATCCTTTGCGGAGTCCTCCCAAGCACAGGAGTACAGTGTTTTCGTTGACATAACCAAGCCCTGCGTGCGATAAATGCATCATCCCTACTGTGAAGCCTGGTGGTAGCATGTTATAAAAAGATGCTTTTATGCAGCAGTGCCTGAAAGATTTCTCAGGGTATCAGACACAATGAAAAAAGAAGCTTTTATAGCCATCAGGCTAAACATCATGTCTGACATAACCTAGCACTGTGTGCAATAAATGCATCATCCCTACTGTGAAACCTGGTGGTGGTGGTAGCATGTTATAGAGATGCTTTTATGCAGCAGTGCCTGAAAGATTTCTCAGGGTATCGGACACAATGAAAAAAGAAGCTTTATAGGCATCATACTAAACATCATGTCTGACATAACCAAGCACTTTGTGCAATAAATGCATCATCCCTACTGTAAAGCCTGGTGGTGGTGGTGGCAATGGTAGCATGTTATAGAGCTCCTCTGGCCCTGAAATATTTCTCAGGCTATAGGATAGAATGAGTACAACAAAATATAAAATCCTGGTGTGCAGGCTTTGTGAAACCTACATTTTAGAGATCTCTTCCAGTCAAACTGACTTTTTTCACAAGTTTATTTCAGTAGAGCAGCATTGAGAATACAAAATAATCAGACTGATACTTTACAGTAGTACAACAAAAAAAGTTAACCCCTTCCAGTCCGGACACTTTCCCCCCCTTCCAGTCCGGACGCTTTCCCTCCCTTCCAGTCCGGACGCTTTCCCCTTCGTCCAGTCCGGACGCTTTCCCCCCCTTCCAGTCCGGACACTTTCCCCTCCTTCCAGTCCGGACGCTTTCACCCCCCTTCCACCCCCCCCTTCCAGTCTGGACGCTTTCACCTCCTTCCAGTCCGGACGCTTTCACCTCCTTCCAGTCCGGACGCTTTCACCCCCTTCCAGTCCGGACGCTTTCACCCCCTTCCAGTCCGGACGCTTTCCCCCCCAGGCCAATTTTCAGCTTTCAGCGCTGTCACACTTTGAATGACAATTGCGCGGTCATGCAACACTGTACCCATATGGATTTTTTAGCATTTTTTTGAGACAGATACAACTTTATTTTGGTGGTATTTATTCACCACTGGGATTTTTATTCATTTATTTTTTTTGCTATATAAATGAAAAAATCCAAAAATTTTGAAAGTGTTTTTCTTATAAAATTTTGCAAATCTTTCTTCATAAATTTGGCCAAAATTTATTCAGTTATCTTTTTAGTAAAAAAAAAAAATAACCAAATTAGTTTATAACCAGAAATAATTTTTTTAAAATTTTTTTTTTTTTTTTTTTTTTTTACATACTGTCAACCTAGCAGTACAGTGTCACCACGGTGACACTACTACTTGTGGGGGGTGATGATTTTTTTTTTTTTTTTTACACTAATTGCTTTTACATCCATAAAGGCTGTAAAAGCAATCATTTCTCCTCTCTGGCTGCATTCTTGCAGCCATTGAGAAATACTGTGACAGCTGTAATTGGTCACAGCTTGTCACATGGTACAAGGCTGTTGTGAATAGCCCTGTACCATGTGATCTCTGTGATCATTCACAGATTTCACACGTAGTAAGCAATGATGTCAGAAGTGACATCTTGCTTACTACTCTGCATGTGATCACTGATTGGCCAATCAGTGATCACATGATCGGGACCTCACACAAACGATCGGTGTTTCACTGTGTCCGGAGGACACAGCGGGTAGCGGATCGCGGTGCTGCGCGCTCCCAGGGAGCGTGCACGAGCAGGGAGGCCTATAATATACATGGGCCATACCTTCATCAGTTCCTCATTTCTTAACGGTTAAGTCCACTGTTACACCCCAAAAATGTGACACCCCCAAACTCACACAGGTTCTTGGACTACATGGTAGATATAAAAGGAGATTGTACAATCAAACCATCTATGGCTGCCTCACTAAATCTGAAGGTTGTGCGCTGTAAAAGGCTGCTAGGGCAAAATCCAGTAGTCTTCTTAAAACAGAAGGTATCTGCTTACCCCCTTCACCCAGAGCTGGACCAAAGCCTAGATGGGAGAGGTTCTTGCCCCTTTAGAGTGTTTCCTTCCTCCAGGTTGCCCCCAGCTGTCACGTTTACTGCCTAGGACTGAGCTGACATTGGCAGCTCAATCCTGCAGATTACACTGAGAGCGATCCACGGTTTAATCAGTTCAGGTCTGGAATGGCCAACCCAGGTCAGGATTCCTGAGAAACTTTTTTTTGCAAAGTGTGGAACTCACACCAGAAGGGTTGCGTCTTCAGGACTGAGCTGTCTGTGTGACCGCCGAGTCCTGCTCCTCATTAAAAGGTACTTCCCTAGAAGTTTTCCATACACCGCCCTGATGTCTGAGACAACTGCATGCAGTTCGCAATAAAAAGCTCTATACCACGGGTGTCAAACTGGTGGCCCTCCAGCTGTTTTCTTTTAATGATTGTAGCACTAGAATGAAAATCCTTCCTAATCGGAGAGAAAAGCAGCAAATATTCCTTTCTTGTAGTGAATAACATTTGGCCTGTTGACATTAATGCCTTGTGTACCAAACAGACCGAATTATCAGGGAGTGTATCTTTATGTTCAGCCATTCGTTTCTTCATCACTTTTAAAGCTCAATTGAGTAGAAAAGCCTCTTCCCTGCCAGCATGTGGCAGAAAGATCATTGTTCTGTGTGTGGAAGCAGTGGTCTATCTGCAGAGGACCAACACGCCCCTTATTGAGTTGGGTCCAGGGGAGGACTGACCATTTGGAAACTCGGGCACTGCCCGAGGGCCCGGGGTCAGTAGGGGGCCCCATGAGATTCCCCTGGTACCTTTTTCATAGGCTTTTTTGAGTTTGGGCAAGGACACAGGGGCCCCATGATCCCCTATTGCCCGGGGGCCCCATGAATTGTCAGTCCGCCCCTGGTTGGGTCTGTATCTCTCGATAAAGGTCATGCTGACTGGAGGTGTGTTGGACCTCTGCAAAGTTACCACTGCTTACCAACAGAGACTAAAGGTCCTTTTCTGGAGTGGCTCCTGAGTAGCAAAGCCTGTCCCCTGCCAGCATCCTCATTATCCTCCTAAAGCAGCCACAGCCTGAGTAGAGATGCCTCTCCCCTGCCAGCATGTGGCAGAAGGACTATTGTTCTCTGTGTGAAAGCAGTGGTCTATCTGTAGAGGACCAACACGCCCCTTATTGAGTTGGCTCTGTATCTCTCGATAAAGGTCATGTTGACTGGAGGTGTGCTGGACCTCTGCAAAGTTACCACTGCTTACCCACAGAGACCAAAGGTCCTTTTCTGGAGTGGCTTCTGAGTAGCAAAGCCTGTCCCCTGCCAGCTTGTTCATTTTCTTCCTAAAGCAGCCTCAGCCTGAGTAGAAAAGCCTCTCCCCTGCCAGCATGTGGCAGAAGGACTATTGTTCTGTGGGTGGAAGCAGTGGTCTATCTGTAGAGGACCAACACGCCCCTTATTGAGTTGGGTCTGTATCTCTCGATAAAGGTCATGCTGACTGGAGCTGTGTTGGACCCAGGGGCGGATTGACCATTTGGAAACTCGGGCACTGCCCGGGGTCAGTAGGGGGCCCCATGAGATGCCCCTGGTACCTTTTTCATAGGCTTTTTTGAATTTGGCAAGGACACAGGGGCCCCATGATCCCCTATTGCTCGGGGGCTCCATGAGTTGTCAGTCCGCCCCTGGTTGGACCTCTGCAAAGTTGCCACTGCTTACCCACAGAGAGCAAAGGTCCTTTTCTGGAGTGGCTCCTGAGTAGCAAAGCCTGTCCCCTGCCAGCTTGCTCATTTTCTTCCTAAAGCTGCCACAGCCTGAGTAGAAAAGCCTCTCCCCTGCCAGCATGTGGCAGAAGGACCATTGTTCACTCTGGGGAAATAGTGGTTGTTCTGCAGAGGACTAACCACTATGGAGTAGGGCCTGTAGCTCTGCAGATGCTTCCTGTTGATTGGAAGTGTGTTGGACCTCTGCAAAGATACCACTGCTTACCCACAGAGAGCAAAGGTCCTTCTTTGTCTACAGCATGCATGCTGGCAGGGAGCAGGCTTTTCTACCCATGCTATGGCCGCTTTAAAAAGAAAAAAGGACTGTAACGCATACATTCCAGAACATAAGGTGTTGTATTTGGCTGATTGATGCTGAGGCTTCAACTGGGCTTTGAGGAGCCAACGATTTTCTTACTCCAGCCTCAGCAGCACGGTTCCCGATGGATTCACCGGCACTTTCAAGACTTGAGAGGAATTATAATATCCATATTCATAGCGCTTTGGAAGCAACTGCGTGACGTAGCAAGCGTCACAAGATAGTCCATCCCAGAGAATGGCTCGTACCAACAGAAAATAACGAGGACCGCCTATTTCTTCACGATTTGTTACCGAGATGGCCAAAGATCCACTCGCCAGGGGTTTCTCCCACAGATCAAAATTATTAACCTGAAAGAAGAACAAACAAAGGTTGATATAAATCCAAATATCACCATTAAAGCTTTCAGTTCAATACAGTCCAGGTCAGGGACGGACTGACCATTTGGAAACTAGGGCACTGCCCCAGGGCCTGGGGTCAGTAGGGGGCCCCATGAGATGCCCCTGGTACCTTTTTCATAGGCTTTTTTGAGTTTGGGCAAGGACACAGGGACCCCATGATCCCCTATTGCCCGGGGGCCCCATGAGTTGTCAGTCCGCCCCTGGTCCAGGTGCATCAGAACAAAAGATGTGCAAAGTCTTAAAGTTGGTTTTCTCTAGAAAGTAACCACCGCTGAGTAGAGAAGCCTGCCCCCATACCAGCATGCTGCAGAGAAGAACTCTTGCTTTCTGTGGGGAAGTAGGGGGTCTTTTCTCGGAGGTCCAATATGCGAACTGCTGATTTAAAACTAAACCTTTCCAACAAGCAAGGAGCGTGGATTTGCCGATAGCAGAGTTATGGGTCTAGTTTGCTAATTTGCAAAAAAAAAAAAAAAAAAAAAACACTGTTAGTCTAGATTCACACCTATGCAGGTTTGCGTTTGAGGCGTTTCTGCATTGCGTTTTGCGTCTTTGCACTTGTGTTTTTGTCTCGTTTTTCTTTTCATTTTTTTTTTATTTTTCTTGTTGCTAGGCAGATTTTCAACGCAAAACACGGCAAAAACACAGTACATGCTTTTCTGCAGCGTTTCCATTGAAGTCTGTAGAACCAAAAACATAACATTTTGCGTTAACATCCTTGGCGGTATTCCCGAGTGTAGCTCGGGGTAAAGTTTCAGTACCAAAAGCGGTAACCCCGAGCTACACTCGGGCTTACCATGCGGCGTTGCTCAGGGAGTCCCTGCAGCACTTACCTTGTCCTTCACTCCTGCGATGTGTCCCCTGCAGCGTCCCCAGCCATCTCCTCCGGCCGATGCCGGCATCCGGCTTCTGTGTTCCGGTCCCTGTGACATCGGAAAGTACAGGCGCCGGAACCGGCGGCAAATTTGAAATTTTTTAAAAATTTCATTTTTTTTTAAATGATTATTACATAGTAAAACATTGCTGTATCAAACCATTTCACATACATTTTGTCCCGAGTGCTTTGTCCTGTGTCCTGCCTGCATTTTGACTGTTCTTTCTGCCTGGAAACTGAGAAACGTCCATGGCGTCCATAAAGCGTCCCTTTAGGTCAAAAGCGGTTTTAGACCGGCTAGAGAACAGCGATAGTAAATCAGAACCACTTGCAGAATTGAGTGATAATGATTGGTGGGGGAAATTCCTCATCAGACACTGAAAACGATTTTGCGACTTTGCTCAGCAATGTGCGAATTTGCCTCTGTATTTCAAATTTCAGTGTTTTTGGTTTGATTATATTATTGAATTAAATTTATTATTATATTATTATTTTTTTTATGATTATTAAATTATAATTTATGATTTTGTGTTTCAAATTTTATCATCCCCGGGATGTTTACTAGACTCTTGTTCAGACAGATTTCACTGAGTTATTCCTAAAAATTACAGCCTACAATAAAAAACTACATATTTCCATGCAAAAAATGTACTGCTTTCAGCACAAAAAAAAAAAAAAATGGAAAGAATCATACCGCCGAGGAGGTTAATAAGAGTCCCTGACCCTTTCCAAAGAAAACATGGAGATGTGAACCTGTCCCATAGGAAATCATGTTAAGTGGACTGTACTGCATTTCTGCAAAACGTGGCAGAAACCGCTTAGGTGTGAATCTAGGGTTAGGCTTTATTTACAAAGTGGAGGGGAGTGTGCAAGCCACGGCTGTAGAGCTTTGCTGCAGTGTAGCATGGCAAAAATTATGTGGCGCTGTAATTTTTTTTAACGGGGTTCAGTAAGGCTGAGGTCAGGTATTGATGTTGGATGAAGAACCAGCAAACACAAATGCTCCTGCGCTTGGGGATGGACTCGATGCTACAACCACATTAAGAATGTCCTGGAACATGCACACCTTGCTGCCCTCAAATGGACCGGGGGAATCCAAATATACTGAATGGGGAAAGAACAAAAAGAGGGCGCACAGGCCTAGTGCATTACCATAAAAAATGTTTAATAAAAAAGTAGGTGTTGTACTCACAAACGACAATATAGTCAAGGCACATCATAGAAGAACAGCTGGATCAACACCGCGCTGAGTAACAGTCCACAATAGGGAGTTTAGACATCCAAAAGGCTGACGCGTTTCGAGGACTTGCCTCTTCCTCAGACATTTTTTATGGTAATGCACTAGGCCTGTGCGCCCTCTTTTTGTTCTTTCCCCATTGATGTTGGATGAGAAGACCTGATCCCAAAGGTGTTCAGTAGGGCTGAGGTCAGGTACTGATGTTGGATGAGAAGACCTGATCCAAAAGGTGTTCAGTAGGGTAGATGTTAGGCACTGATGTTGGATGAGAAGACCTGATCCCAATGGTGTTCAGTACGGTAGAGGTCAGGCACTGATGTTGGATGAGAAGACCCGATCCCAATGGTGTTCAGTACGGTAGAGGTCAGGCACTGATGTTGGATGAGAAGACCCGATCCCAATGGTGTTCAGTACGGTAGAGGTCAGGCACTGATGTTGGATGAGAAGACCCGATCCCAATGGTGTTCAGTAGGGTAGAGGTAAGGCACTGATGATGAGAAGACCTGATCCCAATGGTGTTCAGTAGGGTAGAAGTTAGGCACTGATGTGGATGAGAAGACCTGATCCCAATGGTGTTCAGTAGGGTAGATGTTAGGCACTGATGAATGGGAAGACCTGATCCCAATGGTGTTCAGTAGGGTAGAGGTCCGGCACTGATGTTGGATGAGAAGACCTGATGCCAATGGTGTTCAGTAGGGTTGAGGTCAGGTACTGATGTTGGATGAGAAGACCTGATCCCAAAAGGTGTTCTGTAGGGCAGAGGTTAGGCACTGATGGATGAGAAGACCTGATCCCAATGGTGTTCAGTAGGGTAGAGGTCAGGCACTTATGTTGGATGAGATGACCTGATCCCATTAGTGTTCAGTAGGGTTGAAGTCAGGTACTGATATTCAATGAGAAGACCTGATCCCAAAGGTGTTCAGTAGGGTTGAGGTCAGAGCTCTGTGTAGGACACTCAAGTTCCTCCTCACGAAACTGGTCAAACTATTAGGGGAGTGTACATGCCGTGGCTGTAATGCTTTGCTGCATCATGGTGTGGCAAAAATGACAACACTCCCCCCAATCATGTTCAGCAGGCAGTACCACCCACCAAATGTGATCCATTCACCTGAATGGGGCTGTACTGCAATACATATGGTTGTGGAACAGTGGTGTAGCTTTTTAGGCATTAAAACAGGCAGTGAGAGAAGTCGATGCCTCCTCACCACCAAACACCCTTTGAAGAGCGATCCACTGTGGATTGTTCCTTGGAGACCACCGAAAGTGGTATTGAGCCCTAAGGGGCTCATTTACACATGAATATGAAAATTACGCAGGATACTGCATATAACATGGCCCATATGTTGTATGCATGTAACTTTTACATACGTAGAGTGCATAGTGAGGATGGACCCTATTTTCTTTCGCCACCTCCGCTGATTTCACATTATTGATTTTTATATGTTCTCCTAATTGACCTTGGCTAACTATACAGGACTGAAGGCTATGGTTGTTCCGTGCCTGTGCAGTCGCCACGAGTGGCTCATTCAGGTCCAAACCATCAATAGGGTGTAATCAGTGGCTGTTATAATGCAATGGCCGCAGTGGAGAATCATCCATTCGCACTGTATGGCGTGCGTGAAGGAATCTGTTCGACTTTTTTTTTTTTCAGCCCACCGACCGAACAAAAAATAATCTAAATGTGTGTGGCCAGCTTTAGTTTTTTTTTAAACAGATTGATATGCATTGTAACATTTTTACAGGTTTGACTTTTGCATTTAAAAATTGCATCCATGATTGTTGCCTTTTTGCATGCATTTCACTGCACACGGATGACTGCGTGTTAAATCAAAGCTGTATGAAAGTGTATAGGGACTCAATATGCAAACATACACTATATGGCCAAAACACTGACAAATGACCATCACACCTACATACGTTTGTAGGACATCCCATTCCAAAACCTTTAATATTGAGTTGCGCATGTCCCTTCGATGCCATAATGGGCTCTACTTTTCTGGAAAGGCTTTCCATGGGATTTTGGAGTGTGTCTGTGGGAATTTGTGTCCGTTCAGCTGTTCTAGTACTCTCCAAATCACTGCCAGGACTTCCAGCGGTGCTTTCAAAATCACAGTCAGGATCTTCAATGGTGCTCACAGAATCCCTACCAGGACTTCCAATGGTGCTCGCAACATCGCTGCCAGGACTTCCAATGGTGCTTGCAACATCGCTGCCAGGAATTCCAATGATGCTTGCAAGATCGCTGCCAGGACTTCCACTGGTACTTTCAGAATTACTGCCAGGACCTCCAATGTTACTCAGAAAATCACATGTAGGACTTTCAATGGTGCTCAAAGAATCCATGATAGGACTTCCAGTATTGCTTGTAACATCACTGCCAGGACTTCTGATGGTGCTTGCAACATCACTGCCAGGACTTCCAATGGTGCTTGCAACATCGCTGCCAGGACTTCCAATGGCGCTTGCAACATCGCTGCCAGGACTTCCAATGTTGCTTGCAACATCGCTGCCAGGACTTTCAATGGCGCTTGCAACATCGCTACCAGGATTTCCAGTGTTACTCAGAAAATCATAGGTTGGACTTTCAATGGTGCTCAAAGAATCCGTGATAGGACTTCCAGTATTGCTTGCAACATCACTGCCAGGACTTCCAATGGTGCTTGCAAAATCACAGCCAGGACTTTCAATGGTGCTCACAGAATCCCTGCCAGGACTTGCAATATTGATTGCAACATCACTACCAGGACTTCCAATGGTGCTTGCAACATCGCTGCCAGGAATTCCAATGGTGCTTGCAAGATCGCTGCCAGGACTTCCACTGGTACTTTCAGAATTACTGCCAGGACCTCCAATGTTACTCAGAAAATCACATGTAGGACTTTCAATGGTGCTCAAAGAATCCATGATAGGACTTCCAGTATTGCTTGCAACATCACTGCCAGGACTTCTGATGGTGCTTGCAACATCACTGCCAGGAATTCCAATGTTGCTTACAAAATCCCTGGCAGGACTTCCATAGTTCTCTGAAACAACTCTGGGGATGCCCTCTGGTCAGAAGGGTATTTAAACTCCAGATTGGGAAGTATCTGGTGCTGTCTCTTCTTGCCAGCTACCCTGCTTTGGTAAAAGGACCTACAGTACACTACCGATTGCCTGTGTCATTGTTGACCTGGACTGACCTATGACTGCTCTCTTGCCTGCCCACAACCTCTGCCTGGATCTGGCTACTCTTTTGTGTAATTATTTCTCCACACTGTAGTCGTTCTGTTCCAGTTACCCTCTTGGTGGGGCAATCCAGAGAGTTGTAACCCGTTGACAGCTTGCAGCAAAGTAAACAGGGGCCATTAGGGTTCCAGTATATCCCCACTATCAGGAGCTGTGGTGTAGACCAACTTCAGAAGAGCCTACCTGCCAGATGGTGCCATAACATCAACCAAAACAGGTACTGATGTTTGGCGAGAAGACCAGGCTTGCAATATTACAGTATCTCAAAGGGTGTTCAGTATAGTTAAGGTCAGGGCTCTGTCCAGACCACCCGAGTACCTCCACACCAAAGCAGACTTTATGGAGCTGGCTTTGTACACAGGGGCCCAGTCATGCTGGAACAGAAAAAGGCCTTCACCAAACTTAGCACAAGGTTGGAAGAGCACAATTGTCCACAATGTCTTTTATGCTGTAGGATTAACAGCACCCTTCGCTGAAAAAACCTACATTTAATCATTTGGAGGATGTCCACCTAGTTTTGGAACTATAGTGTAATTTGAGATGAGGTGTTTGGAAACTTTGTCCTTCATTACAAACTCTAAATTTAGGGAACACTGCATTATGGGTGGCACGTCTGCCTTGCAGTAAATGGGTCATGGGTTCAATTCCCGACCATGGCACCTCCTGCATGGAGTTTGCATGTTCTCCCTGTGCTTGCGTGGGTTTCCTCCGGGTGCTCTGGTTTCCTCCCACACTCCAAAGACATGCTCGTAGGTTAATTGGCTCCTGTCTAAATTGGCCCTAATATGTGTATGTATGAATGTGAGTTAGGGACCTTAGATTGTACGCCCCTTGAGGGTTAGGGACCTTAGATTGTACTCCCCTTGAGGGTTAGGGACCTTAGATTGTACGCCCCTTGAGGGTTAGGGACCTTAGATTGTACGCCCCTTGAGGGTTAGGGACCTTAGATTGTACGCCCCTTGAGGGTTAATGGACCTTAGATTGGACGCCCCTTGAGGGTTAGGGACCTTAGATTGTACGCCCCTTGAGGGTTAGGGACCTTAGATTGTACGCCCCTTGAGGGTTAATGGACCTTAGATTGTACGCCCCTTGAGGGTTAGGGACCTTAGATTGTACGCCCCTTGAGGGTTAATGGACCTTAGATTGTACGCCCCTTGAGGGTTAGGGACCTTAGATTGTACACCCCTTGAGGGTTAGAGACCTTAGATTGTACGCTCCTTGAGGGTTAGGGACCTTAGATTGTACGCCCCTTGAGGGTTAGGGACCTTAGATTGTACGCCCCTTGAGGGTTAGGGACTGATGTGAATGTACAATATATATGTAAAGCGCTACGTAAATTGACAGCCTATATAAGTACCTGAAATAAATACATTTCTAGACACTTTTATTACCTTAAGTAACCTGTATCCTTGTATTCCTAGAGGATCTTGATTGATGGCTATGACCTCTTGGTTCTGAAGGAGAGCTGTAGACTCTGGGCTTATTGCCCGCAAGTCATTGGACATTAATAAAGGTGCAGCCATGATTGCCCAAAGAGCCATTTGTGTAACTTGCTGATCCCAACTCAATCCAAAGTTACCTATAACAAGCTTAAAAAAAAAAAAAAAAAGGGTTCAGAAAGTCTGAAGTTATATGGAGAAGAATTGAGAGAAAACAAAAGCATGCCTTTGAGGGTAAATAGGTTAGGTCTTAAAATATCTAAATATCTTTGGATTTTTAGGTGTAAAAGGCTGTAGGGTTGCTTGTGAAATCAGAAAAATGTGCTGTAAACCAGTTTAAATTTTTGTTTATTGGAAAATTCCCCCAGCTGCTTCTCCTCTAAGATACTTCCTCCCCTTGCTGAGCAGCAGATTGGTTTGCTCAGTTGAAGCAATGTCTCAGCCAAGGATTGACCACCATTAGACCCTGGGACCCACCAGTTAGTTAACCTATAACCCTTTCCTTATATTCCTTTTTGGAATGAAATTAATCTTTTGATTCCCCTATGTTTATTCCGTTATCCGTAGATGGATATCTGATGCCCATTATATTTTCCAACCTTATCCTGTTACGCTTAGATGGATATCTGATGCCCATTATGTTCTTCAACCTTTTTTGGACATTATAGGCCAATTAGACCTTTAGACAGAATATACTTTTATATTTCTCTGCAATTTTCAACAGATAAAATCGCTTAAGTTAATTTTTATTAATTAACATCTCATGATTTCTTTTTTGAAATAAAATTAGTTTCTGATCTTTGTCTCTTTCCTACTATGTCTAGATGGATGTTTGAAGTCCATTGTTTCCTCTCCTATGGTTGTGGATGTATAGGTCAAATAGATCCTTGTTAGGTTATACCTATATATCCTTCTAAAGCATTTAACAGGTAAAATTGCCCAAAGTTAACTTTAACCTATTGAATTATGATCTCTTCATATCTTCCGTTAAATGTAATTAATTTCTTTTTTGTCTATCCCATTATGCCTGGATGATATTTGATGCCCATTATATCCTCTACAACTGTTTTGGACGTGTAGGCCAATTAAGATCTTTTTTAGGTCATTTTCTCCTAGCTCCGTGAGCTTTCACATCCAGGGTGAGCCATTGAGTCCCATATATATGTATATATAATTTGATTAAATACCCTGTATTGGATATATTAAAGTTGTTTGGTAATTGAACAGTTTTCCTTTGATATACCTTTAGACTGCCTTGGCGGTAGAAATTTCTTCAAAAAAATCTCCCCTGAAGAAGCCCGTGAGGGCGAAACATGTAGGGAGTAACTACAATTACATAACCAAGTTTGAATCTCAGTTGTATTCTTAGAACTGAAATTGTTTTTAGGTTTCTATATTTTTTCCTTTCTTGTATTTTTTTACAAAAATACAAAATAAAAATTATATAACTTTTTAATATGTTTGGTATTCATGTTCATGCACCCTGAAAGTCCCATCTTCTCTATTGAATACTTGGGACCGAACAGTTTTGCAATAAGTGCCTAATCACCATGAAACCCAGAGACGGGTCCTGCTAGAAAAAGACAATCAAGACAGCCAGAATGTGTTCTATTAAGACACACACAATTCTACGCAAAGTGGCCACTGTGGGTAATAAGCCAATGCATGGGACCCTGTTGGATCTCTGCCTAAGAACTCTTTTGCTACAAGCATTATCTGCCCATGTTGCTCCTTATTTAACCACCTTCCGCCCGCCCTCTAGTACAATGACGGGTGCAAGGTGGTTCTCTCGTTCTGATAGGACGTCATATGACGTCCTACCATTCTCACTGCCCACGCGTGGCACAGGATCGCCGGCGCGCTGTGTCCCTCGGACACAGCGGATCACGGAAAGAGTCAAAGATGTCGGCTCGGTCATGTGATCAGCTGTGTCCAATCACAGCTGATCACATGTAAACACGGAAATGCCGGTTATCGGCATTTCTCTCCTCTCGAGCTGTCACGCTGACAGAGGAGAGGAGAGCCGGTAATCGGCTTTTCCGCGGAGGGGACATCTACACTGATCATCAGAGCACTGATGATCAGTGTGCCCTGATGATCAGTGTGGCCCCAGAAGTGCCACCTGTCAGTGCCCATCAGTGCCATGTGCCAGTGCCCATCAGTGCCACATCAATGCCACATAGTGCATACCAGTGCACATCAATGCCACATATCAGTGCCCATCTGAGCTGCCTTTCAATGTCACCAATCAGTGCCAGTCATTGCCACCTATCAATGCCAATCAGTGCCACCTATCAGTGCTGACAATCAGTGCCAGTCAGTGTCGCCTATCAGTGCGCATCAGTGCCAGTCAGTGCTGTCTATCAGTGCCAGTTAGTGCCGCCTATCAGTGCCAGTCAGTGCTGCCTATCCGTGCCGCCTATCAGTGCCGTGTATCAGTGTCATGTATCAGTGCTGCCTTTCAGTGCCCACAGTGATGCCTGTCAATGCCCATCAGTGCAACCTACCAGTGCCTCCACAGCAGAGCCCATCAGTGCCACCTATCAGTGTCCATCAATGCAGCCTATCAGTGCCCATCACTGCAGCCTCATTAGCGCACATCATTGAAGGAGAAAAATCACATATTTACAAAATTGTATAACAAAAACTAAAAAATTTTTGTCTTCAAAATTTTCAGTGGTTTTTGGTTTGTTTAAGAAAAAATAAAAATCCCCGAGGTGATTAAATACCACCAAAAGAAAGCTCTGTCTGTTTCAAAAAAATGATAAAAATTTCATATGGGTACAGTGTTGCATGACCGCGCAATTGTCATTCAAAGTGTGACAGCGCTGAAAGCTGGAAATTGGCCTGGGCAGGAAGGGGGTATAAGTGCCCTGTAGGCCGGAAGGGGGTATAAGTGCCCGGTAGGCAGGAAGGGGGTAGAAGTGCCCGGTAGGCAGGAAGGGGGTAGAAGTGCCCGGTAGGCAGGAAGGGGGTAGAAGTGCCCTGTAGGCAGGAAGGGGGTAGAAGTGCCCTGTAGGCGAGGGGTTAAACACATCAATCAGCCCTGAAGAAGGAAACACAGGAATGAAATGTGTGGAGTTGCTGTTAGTCCTTCAGCAAAATGTCCTACATCACAGACGTCAAGCTAGCGGCCCTCCAGCTGTTGCCAAACTACAAGTCCCATGAGGCATTGCAAGACTGACAGTTACAAGCATGACTCTCAAAGGCAGAGGCAGGCATGATGGGACTTGTAGTTTGGCAACAGCTGGAGGGCCGCCAGTTTGACACCCCTGGTCTATACTAGCGGTTCTGGATGCAACTGAGCCCAAGGACAAAAATGTAATGGGATAAAAAGGCAATTGGTTGCAGGCTTTCCTGGCAAAACCAAGACTTTCAAAATGTAAAGCTGACCATACTATACGATTTCTCTTGTTCAACCACGTCGGTATTGATGGATGAATGTCTCCTGCCAGATATTGTATTCCAACAGTCAGCATCCAGGGCTGTCAGAAAGCCTGAACCCTGACTGCATTTGATGCTTGAGGTAGTGGATTTGTTGGCCCCGGAGCCGTAGGTGGACGTTACCTGATATATACGATTGGTTTTATAGACATGTTGTGCTTCTTTTAACTCTTCATTCACTTTGCCTATGGATCTTTGCTCTTCTATATAGAGTGAATCACTAATAGAGGAACTTCGTTTACCCCGTGTTTTTTTCCCTTGTATCTTTTTCTCTGGTGTTTTGCACAATTCATATACTCACCTTTCGAGTGAATCTAGCATTGTCCCACTGTAATCCATTGCACTACTGTCCAGGGGCGGACTGACAACTCATGGGGCCCCCGGGCAATAGGGGATCATGGGGCCACTGTGTCTTTGACCAAACTCAAAAAAGCCTATGAAAAAAGGTACCAGGGGCATCTCATGGGGCCCCCTACTGACCCCGAGCCCTCGGGCAGTGCCCGAGTTTCCAAATGGTCAGTCCGCCCCTGCTACTGTCACACACTGGGTCCCATGCTGCCATCTTGCTGATGTCATAAGGAGCCGGTTAGCTCTTCCTGATTCGGGTCCCCTGATGATGCATCGCATCTCCAACTGTTGTATGGAACCTGAACCATCTTGGGATATGTGACGTGTATATCCCAGGAGGCTTCAGAGAGCAGATGAGGATATTCTCGCCTAAGCCAGAATGGTGGCTGGAGGACGGGGCGAACAACAAAAAAAAAAAAATTGTGAGGCAAACAGGAGTGGAATATTGCCTAGTGCATCTAATGGATAAAGTGCCAATTAAAGTTTCCATATATCTTCTCATCAGTATGGGGTCTACTAAGCAACCCACTACCTGGGCCTTGTGATAACACATTCTGCACCCCTAAAAACTTTCTTTATTCCTCCACTTCTAGAATGTGATCACTACTGCCCTCCATATTAGCACCTCTATAGCCAGGTAATAAATACTACATTAACACCATTACAGCAAAAGAGAGAACACCACCATCACTGTTGGAACCACTGTAGGCATGGATTGGTCATAATCTATACCAAGTTGTTAGGCAATACTGGTCAAGTTTTCAATTTTTCACATTTAGGATTTTCAAAATGGCTGCAATTTTTTATGGAAGAAAACATTCTATATACAGTATCTAATTTATGTGGTAATGTCTTAAAATAGAACTGTTATTCCCTCACCATGTCTGGATCGTTCCAAGCTCCTGGACCCGCTGCAGGAACCAGCTGTTCTTGGAGAGTGGCGGTAAAATCCAAGATCATCTTCACACTTGCCCATGAGTCATCAATATCACCAAAATTTCTCCATGAGTTGCAGTATTCAGCAACTTCCGTATAGTTAACCTAAGAATTGTAAAAAAATAAGTTTTATCATTAAAAGAATTTCAAAAATATAGATTTTTACAAAGTTGCAACTACATGAATATGAATCTATTGTTTTTGTTACCAGGAAAATAATGCTACAAGCTTTCGGTGCAGCGTAGAGGTACAATGGTGCAGGTGATTATTATTGTTATGGATTGTTGTGTCTTAGTTTAAATTTTATGTAAAGCCAAAATGCTTATTTTCAGGTTGCGATAAAGTGGGGAAGGGTTGAAATGTTTACCAGGTTATTTTTTGCCTCAACTAAATTTGTGGTGGTGTTGTAATTTTTTCCAAAGATGTTCAGTAGGATTGATCAGTCCTGATGTTGGATGAGAAGACCTGATCCCGAAGACGTTCAGTAGGGTTGAGGTCGGGTACTGATGTTGGATAAGAAGAACTTATCTCAAAGGTTTTCTGTAGGGTTGAAGTCAGATCCCGATGTTAAATGAGAAGACCTGGTCCCAAAAAGATGTTCAGTAGGGTTGAGGTCAGGTACGTAATGTTGAATGAGAAGACCTGATCCCAAAGGGGTTTCTGTAGGGTTGAAGTCAGGTACTGATGTTAAATGAGAAGACCTGGTCCTAAAGATGTTCAGTAGGGTTGAGGTCAGGTCGTAATGTTGGATGAGAAGACCTGATCCCAAAGGGGTTTAGTAGGGTTGAAGTCAGGTCCTGATGTTAAATGAGAAGACCTGGTCCCAAAGATGTTCAGTAGGGTTGAGGTCAGGTCGTAATGTTGGATGAGAAAACCTGATCCCAAAGGGGTTTAGTAGGGTTGAAGTCAGGTACTGATGTTAACTGAGAAGACCTGATCCCAAAGGTGTTCAGTAGGGTTGAGGTCAGGTCCTGATGTTGGATGAAAAGACCTGATCCCAAAATGGTTTAGTTGGGTTAAAGTCAGGGCTCTGTGAAGGACACTCAAGTTCCTCCACATGAAAATGGTCAAACCATGTCTTTGTGGATCTGAATCTGAGAAGTTAATGCTTCCAGCTCATCCAGGGACTTGTAAGCTGCAATATATTTCATTTTTATTTTTGCATTTACTTTAAGCTAATAACCAGGGGATCTACCCCTACTTTTGAAACTAGAAATCTTCTGAATCAGACCAAGAAGAAACATACAGACTATAACCGTTGAAAGTATATTATTCCACTTACATGTGCTTCTTGACGAGCATACAGCGGCCATTCACAGGAATATACAATATCTCTCCCGGTACGGTTTAACGCAATCGCCATACGACGGTACCCTGCAACGATAGAGTAGCATAAAGGATGGGATGTATATTTAGGTTTCATATGCCAGTAGTTAAAAGCCAGATGGGCTGGTTCTGTAAGAACTGACTTGTTTTCCTAAAACTGTGGAAAAACCAAAAACATCCAGTGAGTGTTAGATCTAAGGACAGAAATGCCTGGCTAATAAGACGGGTCAGAAGAAAATGGCCAGACTGGTTGGAGGGGACACTAGGCTACGGTAACTCAAATAACCACCCTTTTCAACTGTGGAGAGCACCACAGAATGCACAACACATCAAACTTTTACATGGCTGTGCAAAAGACCACAATGGGTTTCTGTAAGCCAAAAACAGCTGAGGGTGGAGTAGGCACAGGATCACCAAAACTGGATAGATGAAGACTGGAAAAATGTAGCCTGGTATGATGAACCTGTTAAGGCACACAGATTTTTTTGGCCGGCCTACTGATCTGAATCTAGTAGAACACCTCTGGCATGTGGGCGTATTGGAGATTCACAGCATGAATGTGTAGCTAACAAATCTTAAAAAATTTCCATGTCAACATGGAACAGAATCTTAAAGGCTTGTTTATGGAACGTGGAACCCGTGCCAAAAACATAAGGGAGACCCAACCCAGTATTAACATAAGGTTCCTCATAAAATGCTTGGCTGTGTATGTGCAGGAAAAAAACAAAAATGGTGATATGTTCACATATATTTGTAGTATACTTCTAAGGACGTAAGGATAAGGATGAGAAGACCTGATCCCAAAGATGTTGATTAGGGTTGAGGTCAGGTACTGATGTTGGATGAGAAGACCTGATAGGTCTTATAGGAACAATTAAACTAGAAGGAAATCAATACTACCACCTAGTTTTAAAATGTTGCCCTCCCGTTGTTCTCATCTTTCCTGCATACACTTCATAATAAATCTCAATACTTATAACTTTTTTTTTTTTTTTAACGTTTTCCTGATGCTCATGTGACTGGATAGTGTCTCTCTCTATGCATGGATTGTAGGCCTGACTTGTTTCCAGGGCTGACAAGACCTTAAAGCTGAAGTTTAGGCATGGCAATTTTTTACATAGTTACATTGGTCCAGCTTGGTATGTGTATACCATACCTTTGGGATCCCTCTAGAACAGCTGCTCCTAACCAGGGTTCTGTGGAACCCCAAGTTTCTTCCAGAGGTTGGTAGGGGTCCCTTGAGCTGTGGCTAATTGAGCTCCCATCTGATAGTACCTGCATAGTTTCTTGAAGAGTCAGTGGCATGACACAAATAATCCTTTTATCTATCTGTAAGGGTGGCATTGTGACCATTACGGTAAGAGGACATTGTTCCCACTGACCACCAACGGAGGGACATTGTTCCCACTGACCACCAATGTAAGGAGCATTCTTCCCACTGACCCCCAATGTAAGGAGCATTCTTCCCACTGACCCCCAATGTAAGGGACATTCTTCCCACTGACCTCCAATGTAAGGGAAATTCTTCCCACTGACCACCAATGTAAGGAGCCTTCTTCCCACTGACCACCAATGTAAGGGGCATTCTTCCCACTGACCACCAATGTAAGGGACATTCTTCCCACTGACCACCAATGTAAGGAGCATTCTTCCTACTGACCACCAAAGTAAGGGGCATTTTTCCCACTGACCATCAATAGAAGGGACATAATTCCCATAGACCACCAATGTAAGGAGACATTCTTCCTACTGACCACCAATGTAAGGGACATTCTTCCCACTGACCCCCAATGTAAGGGACATTCTTCCCCCTGACCACCAATGTAAGGGGCATTCTTCCCACTGACCACCAATGTAAGGAGCATTCTTCCCACTGACCACCAATGTAAGGAGCATTCTTCCTACTGACCACCAAAGTAAGGGGCATTTTTCCCACTGACCATCAATAGAAGGTACATCATTCCCATTGACCACCAATGTAAGAAGCATTCTTCCTACTGACCACCAATGTAAGGAGCTTTCTTCCCACTGACCTCCAATGTAAGGAGCATTCTTCCTACTGACAGCCAATGTAAGGGGACATTTTTCCCCATTGACTCCTGATACATTGGTGTTCCCTGAGACCTGAAAAATATTTTGAAAGCTTCTCTAGGGTAAAAAGGTTGAGAAAATGCTGCTCTTCACTAGCTTCCAAGTCCAAGTAGCTGCCCTGCTGCATTGAGCCATCTAAAAATCGTTTTGCACTTTCCCAATGATTTGATGAGGTGGAGAGGTGGGGTTGTGACATCATGATCTCCACCTCATCTAGTCAGTGAATTATTTGCATTCATTGAGAGAATCAAAGCATTATCTAAATGGTACCCTACCCAGCGGCTGTGTTCAGAATGTAGCAGGGTAGCCGCTTGGTATGGGACCTGGAAGCTACTGGAGATCACTGAAGTGGCTGTGTAGTAGCAGTGCCTACTACAGTGTTTATCAGCTTCTAGAGCAGTGCAGTGGCAGTCAACTTTCCTCCTCAAGTGCAGCTCCCAACATCACCAAAGGGCCACACATATAATTCAGTGTATATTCATTTTTGGAGACAGCAGATTATTATTATTATACAGGATTTATATAGTGCCAGCAGTTTGCGCAGCGATTTACAATATAAAGGGGGACAGTACAATTACAATACAGAAGAAATAGGAGGGCCTTGCTCATGGAGCTTACAATCTAAAGGAAGCGAGAGGTGGTACAAAAGGTGATAGCTGCAGGGGATGATCTGATTACCTGAATAGCTTAATTTTCAAAGATTGCAGGCAGTCAGGGTGGGAGCTGGGGTAGGGAGTACTGGACGTACTGGGATAGGGATTTCCAGAGGATGGGAGAGGTTCTGGAAACATCCTGGAGGCGAGCATGGAAGGAGGTAACAAGGGAGCTAAAGAGCAAGATGTCTTGGGAGGAGCGGAGTGGACGATTTGGACGATATCTGCAGAGGAGGTTGGTGATGTAACTAGGGGCAGTGTTGTGGATGGCTTTGTATGTTGTGGTTAATAGGGGAGAGTTCTGGAGATGTTGCGAAGGTTGAGGTGGCAGGATTTAGCCAGTGATTGGATGCGGGGCCCAAAGGAGAGATCAGAGTCTAGGACAGGGGTGGGCAAACTTTCTGACTTGAGGGCCGCAATGGGTTCATATATTGGACCCGGGGGCCGGACCAAGAGTAGATGAATGATGTGTATGTGTCACCCATAGTAAGTATAGTAATATTCCCCCATAGTAAGCATAGTAATTCATCCCCCATATAGTAATTCATCCCCCATAGTAATTCATCCCCCATAGTAATTCATCCCCCATATAGTAATTCATCCCCCATATAGTAATTCATCCCCCATAGTAATTCATCCCCCATATAGTAATTCATCCCCCATATAGTAATTCATCCCCCATAGTAATTCATCCCCCATAGTAATTCATCCCCCATAGTAATTCATCCCCCCATAGTAATTCATCCCCCATATATAGTAATTCATCCCCCATATAGTAATTCATCCCCCATATAGTAATTCATCCCCCATATAGTAATTCATCCCCCATAGTAATTCATCCCCCCAATCCCCCATATAGTAATTCATCCCCCATAGTAATTCATCCCCCAGATAGTAATTCATCTCCCAGATAGTAATTCATCCCCCATATAGTAATTCATCCCCCATATAGCAATTCATCCCCCATATAGTAATTCATCCCCCCTATAGTAATTAATTCCCCATATTAAGTCCCCAAGTCCCCCCTGTGTCAATTCACTTACCTTTGCTCCTCGCGTTCCTCTAGCCGTGTTCCCGCGCCGTTCCGGTGTAGCATGAAAATCTGTCTCCTATGAGGATCTGTCCCCCTCGACGTATCTGCGCATGTGCCAGTTTCAGGCATTAGCAGCCGATCGGCGATCTCCGGCACATGCGCAGATACGTCGAGGGGGACAGATCCTCATAGGAGACAGATTTTCATGCTACACCAGTCTCCTGACAGCCATCCTGACAGTATCACGCTCCACGGGCCGGATTAAAAGGTCCGCCGGGCCGTAGTTTGCCCATTGCTGGTCTAGGACTACACCTAGCACCCCGGCATGTGGGGTGGGACCAGTGAGTGTGCTGTTGATCTTAATGGTAAAGTAAGGCGTGGGGGATCGGAGAGGAGGAAATATTACAAGCTCGGTTTTAGAAAGAGATTTGTGATGCTTGAGGAGATCGGGGGGTGAGCTGGGGAGTAAAGAAATGGATCTGGGTGTTGTCAGCGTAGAGGTGGTACTGGAAGTGATGGGAGGTTATCAAAATGGCCCAGGGAGGAGGCGTAGAGATAGAAAAGGAGGGGCCCAAGGATGAAGCCTTGAGGTTCCCCAACAGGAAGAGGAGCGGAGATGTTGATGTTGTATGTGAAGCTGAAAGTGCGCTGAGAAAGGTAAAAGGAGAACCAAAAAAGAGCAGAGTGACGGAGGCCAAGGCAGTGGTTTACAGGGGAGGAGTGTGTGGTCGATTGTGTCAAAGGCAACGGAAAGATGAGTATGGGAGTAATGGCCATTTGTTTTAGATATGCAACAAGATACAGTCAAAGACTATGGGCATGATACAAGAGATAGTCAGGGACTGCAGACATAATACAAGAAATGGTCAGAGACTGTGAACATGCTATAGGAGATGTTGGAGACTGGGGACATGCTATAGGAGATGTTGGAGACTGGGGACATGCTATAGGAGTTGTTGGAGACTGGGGACATGCTATAGGAGTTGTTGGAGACTGGGGACATGCTATAGGAGTTGTTGGAGACTGGGGACGTGCTATAGGAGGTGATAGAGACTTTGGACATGCTATAGGAGTTGTTGGGGACTGGGGACATGCTATAGGCGTTGTTGGAGACTAAGGACACGCTATAGGAGTTGTTGGAGACTGGGGACATGCTATAGGAGTTGTTGGAGACTGGGGACATGCTATAGGAGTTGTTGGAGACTGGGGACATGCTATAGGAGTTGTTGGAGACTGAGGACATTATAGAGGAGTTTTTGAAGACTGGGTGAGCTGGGGAGTAAAGAAATGGATCTGGGTGTCGTCAGCGTAGAGTTGGTACTGGAAGTGATAGGAGGTTATCAAAATGGCTCAGGGAGGAGGCGTAGAGATAGAAAAGAAGAGGCCTAAGGATGAAGCCTTGGAGTTGTTGGAGACTGGGGACATGTTATAGGAGTTGTCGGAGACTGAGGACATGCTATAGGGGTAGTTGAAGACTTTGGACATGCTACAGGAAATGATAGAGACTTTGGACATGCTATAGGAGTTGCTGGGGACATGCTATAGGAGTAGTTGAAGAGATGGGGACATGCTATAGGAGATGAGAGAGACTTTGGACATGCTATAGGAGTTGTCAGGGACTGGGGACATGCTATAGGAGTTGTTGGAGACTGGGGACATGCTATTGAGGATGATGGAGACTGGGGACATGCTATGAGAGATGATGGAAACTGGGGACATGCTATAGGAATTGTTGGAGACTAGGGACATGCTATAGGAGTTGTTGGAGACTGGGGACATCTATAGGACTTTAGAGACTGGAGACAAGCTAGAGGAGATGTTGGAGACTAAGAACATGCCATAGGAGTTGTTGAAGACTGGGGACATGCTATAGGAGTTGTTGGCGACTGGGGACATGCTATAGGATTTGTTGGGGCCATGCTATAGGAGTTGTTGGGAGACTGGCGACATGCTATTGAGGATGATGGAGACTGGGGACATGCTATAAGAGATGATGGAAATTGGGGACATGCTATAGGAATTGTTGGAGACTGGGGACACTCTATAGGTCTTTTTAGAGACTGGGGACAAGCTAGAGGACTTTTGAGACTGGGGACAAGCTAGAGGAGATGATGGAGACTAAGGACGTGCTATAGGAGTTATTGGAGACTGGGGACATGCTCCATTTGACAATCTTAGACCTGAGATGTATTACATGAGACTGCTAGAGATCATTGCTATAACAGGGCAAGAGAGCAGTGGCCTTGAGGGCGGCACAAAAAGTGCCTAAGGGCCACATTGTTGGACACCAGGGTTCTAACAGGACCCCCCCAGGTATGGTGTGTATATATATATATATATATATATATATATATAGGGTGGTCCAAGCAGGAACTATATAACTATGTAATAGTATCCATACCTGAAATTCTTCTTTAAAAGGTAAGGATGCAAGTGGGACAGCTCTAAATATTCAGCGTCGCTGGTCCTCCACACAGTGGCGGCTCGTATAAAGGTTCAATAATAGGTGTTTGCATTGAGACAGCAGTAAAGGAAGGCAGTTGTATTGCCCTTCCTTCTTCATATACAACACAGCTTTGTCTCACCTTCTTCCAGATCCTCCAGAGTTCCATAATTACATCCATCAAATTTCAGTAGGTCCACCCCCCAGTCTGCAAACGTTTGTGCATCCAACTCATAAAAATCTCGACTTCCTGGAAATCCGGCGCAGGTTTTGTTGCCCACGTCTTGATATATTCCAAACAGTAGGCCGCGGTCATGCATCTAAGAAAACCAGATCAGTTTCTATAATGAGTACAAAGCGGCATTAATCTGCCTTTTAGATCTGCATATTAAACCCCAAAGCAAAAAAGTAATACATTGCTTCTTACCAGGGGCGGACTGACCATTTGGAAACTCGGGCACTGCCCGAGGGCCCTAGGCCAGTAGCGGGCCCCATGAGATGCCCCTGGTACCTTTTTCATAGGCTTTTTTGAGTTTGGGGAAGGACACAGGGGCCCCATGATCCCCTATTGCCCAGGGGCCCCATGAATTGTCAGTCTGCCCCTGGTTAGGGGGTTGGAGGAAGTAAACAATGGTCTACAACTGCAGTGACCAGGGCTGCTGTTGAAACCACAGGGCCCAATACAACCAACTTAACAGGGCCCCCCATTCCCACAAACAAAACAGTTTTCTATGCTTCAGTTTTGAATGAACATAGTGAGTGATTGGTACCTATCACTCATTGTGTTCATTCAGGAATGGAAGGGGCTGGTACAGGGCTGCTGCTAGAAACAACAGGGCCCCATACAGCCAACTTGCCAGGGCCCCCCTCCCCCCCCCAAAAAAACTATGCTCCAGGTAGGAATGAATACAGTGAGTGATCGGTACTGATCACTCATTGTGTTCATTCAGGAAAAGCAGGGGCTGGTAAATGTGACACTGCCACATAATCCTGGGCCCCTGCCCCATGATCCTCTATTGCCCTGGGGCCCCATGAGTTCAGTCCACCCCTGCTTCTTACCAATCCTTAGATGTGATGGCTGCATTGGTTTTTTAGGCTTTTTTCACCTGGTGATCTGGTCAGTAAGTCTGTTATTTCCCAAATTCTAACGGAACAAGCTGTCCAGCAAAAGTGTCAGTTGCAGGGATGAAACAAACCATTTACCACTGACAAGAGGTGCTTAAAATGATCAGCTTTTATGTAAAACATTTATCCCAAAAGGGAAAAAAAGTTGCTCTAACTACAGGGTGAACTGGAGTATGCTTCGATTTGTTAGTGTATCTAAATCTGCTAGTACCTCTGACTCTCCCCCTTCTGAATGTTGCTCTTCAAAAGGTGCCCCCCTGTGCTCCTTCATCCATAGTGGGGGTGCTCTAATGCAGGAAAAAAAAAAAATCGATTGCTGTAATTACCTAAAAAGTGTTGGCTGGAGTTCGGATTTAGGATACGGGAACAATGGAGACACCTTTGAACAGCAGCATTGTCCGTCGGGGGGGGGGTTGGATAAAGTAGCAGATTTAGCTGGACTTGATTAATAAATTAAAGCCAAAATCCAGCTAACAATCTATAAGCAGCTGCAGCAACAGATTTTCCATTTGGGATAAAAGTTCTATATAAATAAATGCTGATCGTTTGTCTCAACTGCCAATTTTTCTGGACAGCTAGGTCTGTTAAAGGAAGCTGAAAAATAACAGACTTACTGACAGGATCACCAGGTGGAAAAATAAAGGAAAACAACCTTAAAAAGAAAAACTAGTGCAATCATGCATTGGTAAGCTGTAATTTATTACATTTTTTGAGGTTCCAACTGCCGTTTTTGATGGACAACTTGGGCTGTTAAAGGAAGCTGTAAAATAACAAACTTACTGGTAGGATCACCAGTTGGAAATAAAGGGGGAAAAAAAGCCTATAAAATGAAAACTAATGCAACCACCATATTTAGGATTGGTAAGCTGCAATATATTGCCAAAAATATTTGGACACCCCAAATTCCAAAAATCATGTGATTCAGGTGTTCCAATCCCCTCCAAATTATGTGATTCAGGTGTTCCAATCCCCTCCAATCATGTGATTCAGTGTTCCAATCCCCTCCATATCATGTGATTCACGTGTTCCAATCCCCTCCATGGACACAGGGTATACAATCAAGCCCCTAGGCATGCAGACGGCTTCTACAAACATTGGTGAAAGAATGGGTCGCTCTCAGGAGCTCAGTGACTCCAAGCGTGGTCCCGTGATAGGTGGTCACCTGTGCAATAAGTCCATCCGTGACATTTCCTGGCTACTAAATATTCCACGCTCAACTGTTAGTGGGATTATAACAAAGTGGAAGCAACTGGGAACAACAGCAACTCAGCCACCAAGTGGTAGGCCACGTCACATGACAGAGCGGGGTCAGCGCATGCTGAAGCGCACAGTGCGCAGAAGTCGCCAACTGTCTGCAGAGTCAATAGCTAAAGACCTCCAAACTTGGTGTGGCCTTCAGATGAGCCCAACAACAGTGTGTAGAAAGCTTCATGGAATGGGTTTCCATGGCCGAGCAGCTGCATCCAAACCTTACATCACCAAGTGCAATGCAAAGCGTCGGATGCCGTGGTGTAAAGCACGCCACCACTGGACTCTAGAGCAGTGGAGACGTGTTCTCTGGAGTGACCAATCACACTTCTCTGTCTGGCAATCCGATGGACGTGTCTGGGTTTGGGGGTTGGAGAACGGTACTTGCCTGACTGCATTGTGCCAAATGTAAATTTTGGTGGGGGGGAGGGGGGGGGGTTGGTGTGGGGTTGTTATTCAGGGGTTGGGCTTGGCCCCCTAGTTCCAGTGAAGGGAACTCTTAAGGCGACATTTTGGACAATTTCATGCTCCCAACTTTGTGGGAAGAGTTTGGGGATGGCCCCTTCCTGTTCCAACATGACTGCACACCAGTGCACAAAGCAAGGTCCATAAAGACATGGAGGAGCCAGTTTGGGGTGGAGGAACTTGACTGTCCTGCACAGAGTCCTGACCTCAACCCCATAGAACACCTTTGGGATGAATTAGAGTGGAGACTGTGAGCCAGGCCTCCTCCCCCGACATCAGTGCCTGACCTGACAAATGTACTTCTGGAAGAATGGTCCAACCTTCCCATAGACACCCTCCTAAACCTTGTGGACGGCCTTCCCAGAAGAGGTGAAGCTGTTATAGGTGCAAAGGGCGGGGCCAACTCAATATTGAACCCTACGGACTAAGACTGGGGGGGACATTAAAGGTCATGTGTGTGGAAAGGGCAGGGCCAACTCAATATTGAACCCTACAGACCAAGACTGGGGGGCCATTAAAGGTCATGTGCGCATAAGGGCAGGCGTCCCAATACTTTTAGCAATATAGTGCATTACATTTTTTGGGGTTTCAACTGCCATTTTTGATGGACAGCTTGGCCTGTTAAAGAAAATAAAAAATAATAGACTTACTGGTAGGATTACAAGGTGAAAATAAAAAAGACAAAGAAATTGAATGCAGCCACCACATTTAAGAACTGGGGAGCTGCAATATAAATGTTTTACTAAAACAAATGTCAACTGTATGTGACTCACATAATCAGCGAGTTTCTTGATGCCTCCTGGGAATCGGTCCGGGTCAGCCTGTAGCCTGTTGTTCTTGTCTCTGTTTGGAGCCAGCCAGCAGTCATCAATGCACACATATTTATATCCTGCTTTCAGCCATCCATTGGACACCATGATGTCCGCCATCTGCATGAAGAGCTGTTCACTGGGAAAGAATGAAGTTGAAGTGAGCTGCAGCAAGTCAATTAGAGCCCCCCTTTTTCCTGGCGGGATGATGTCCAGCATCATGTAGCCCAGTGGTCTCCAAACTGTGTCCCAGGGGCCAGATGTGGCCTTTTGCTTGCCCTTAGGGACCCATTCCATCCACTGACTCCAACATCAGGACATTATTCTTCCCACTGACACCAAAGATGGAGCTCTATTTCCCCCACTGACACCAATGATGGGGCACTATTCCTTCCACTGATACCAATGATGGGGCACTATTCCTCCCACTGATACCAATGATGGGGCACTATTCCTCCCACTGATACCAATGATGGGGCACTATTCCTCCCACTGATACCAATGATGGGGCACTATTCCTTCCACTGACACCAATGATGGGGCACTATTCCTTCCACTGACACCAATGATGGGGCACTATTCCTTCCACTGACACCAATGATGGGGCACTATTCCTTCCACTGACTCCAATGATGGGGCACTATTCCTTCCACTGACTCCAATGATGGGGCACTATTCCTTCCACTGACTGACACCAATGATGGGGCACTATTCCTCCCACTAACACCAATGATGGGGCATTATTCCTCCCACTGACACCAATGATGGGGCACTATTCCTCCCACTGATACCAATGATGCGGCACTATTCCTCCCACTGACACCAATGATGGGGCACTATTCCTCCCACTGACACAAATGATGGGGCACTATTCTTCCCACTGATACTATTCAACTGATACCAACAATGGGGCACTATTCCTCCACTGATACCAATGATGGGCCAATATTCCTCCACTGACACCAATGATGAGGCACAATTCCTTCTACTGACACCAACAATGGGGCACAATTCCTTCCACTGACACCAATGATGGGGCACAATGCCTCCCAAAAATAGCAATGATGGAGCACTGTTGTTCCAACGAATACCAATGATGGGGCAATATTTCTCCACTGACACCCTTAATGGGGCACAATTTCTCCTACTAATAGAAATGATGGGACACTGTTGCTCCACTGATAGCAATGATGGGGCACTATTCCTCCCACTGACACCAATGATGGGACACTATTCTCCCACTGACACCAATGATGGGACACTATTCTCCCACTGACACCAATGACGGGGCACTGATTTCCTCCATGACACCAATGATGGGGCACTATTCTCCCATTGATACTGACCACTATTCTCCCACTGACACCAATGATGGGGCACTATTCCTCCCACTGACACCAATACCAATGATGACACCAATGAGGGGGCACTATTCCTCCCACTGATACCAATGACGGGGCACTATTCCTCCCACTGACACCAATGACGGGGCACTATTCCTCCCACTGACACCAATGACAGGGCACTATTCCTCCACTGATTCCAACGATAGGGCAATATTCCTTCCCAGGGGTGGACTGACCGTTCGAGCACTCGGGCACTGCCCGAGGGCCCAGGGTCAGTAGGGGGCCCCATGAGACGCCCCTGGTACCTTTTTATAGGCTTTTTTGGGTGTGGTTTCTGTGCGGGCAAGGACACAGGGGCCCCATGATCCCTTTTTGCCCGGGGGGCCCCATGAGTTGTCAGTCCACCCCTGTTCCTTCCATAATACCAACAATGAGGCATTTTCTACTACCACTAACCCCAGTCTGGCCCTCCTCATGTCTTAAGGACAGTAAACTGCCCCTTGGTTTAGTAGGTTTGGAGACCCTTGATCTAGACCTTTCCTCCCCAGTCTGACTGTCCCCATTTTGCCCCTTTTATTCATTGGATTTCAGTTCTTTAAATCATGGAGGCTCAGCATCACATGTGGACATTGCTTAGGGTGAGGTTAACTGCACTTTGGGGTTCATAATGGCAATTCTTTGTGGGTTCACTAGACCTTTACAGCAATTTGGTGAAACTTTAACGTGTTGTTATGAGCCCTGAAATTAGTAGTGGTTTGGTGCTACACTCAATTGCACTGCTGCACAACCCTGAAACTGCTCCATGGTAGGACTTCTGAAAAGCAAAAATTAAAGGAGAATTCCAGGTATGGCAATTTTTACATAGTTACATTGAACCAGATTGGAGCAACGGAACTATGCATGTGCCGTACCTGTGGGATCCTTGCAGAAGTTGGAAATCACTGTAGTAGGCACCTCTACCACGATGATCTCCACTAGCTTCTAGGTCCCAAACACAAGAGGTAGCCTGCAAAGCATTCTCCGATTAGAAGAGGTGGAGAGGGTGGCAGTGATATCCTGATATCTACCTCGTCCAATCAGAAAAAATGTTGCATTCATTGGGAAAATAAAAGAGTTTTATCTGAATGGCAAGCAACCTCCTGCATTCGTTAGGCTTCCGGGTCCCATGCCAAGCAACTGCCCTGCTACGTTATGAACACAGCCTCTGGACAGATCACCATTTAGAGGATGCTTTTGACATTTCTCAACGAATGCAAAGGATTCTCTGACTTGACGAGGTGGAGATCATGATGTCACAACTCCACCTCATCAAATCAGAGAATGCTTTGCATTCACTGAGAAAGTGCAAAGCGATCTCTTGATGGACAATGCAGCAGGGGGCAGCTGCTTGGCATGGGACCTGGAAGCTAGTGGAGATCACCGTATTGGTGTTGCCTAGTCCAAGGATTTCCAGCTTCTCTGGGGATCCTACTAGTATGGATCATACATCACGTTTGTGTCCGGCGTCATGGGGCACATCCCACTAAAATCTTAATGCGTGTCAACACACCTGACCCTTCATTGCAGAACACAGAGATGTTGGCCAAAAACAGGTCCATGTTTTGGTGCATTAAACCTCATGAATGGCCAAACTGAAATGTAATATTCAACACAATGTACTTTTTAGGGTCCATTCAAGCATGGGTGTGAATGGCCCTTTTAAAACATGCCAATATTTTGTGAATATTAAAAATGTTATGATTGACACCCCTGTGAGATGACATGGGCTCGAGCACCCAAGGTGCAGAGTTCAAGTGACAACTTGGTCTTCACTAAGGTACCCCCGTGAGTGGTTGACTGGTGACCCTAGATGCCCATGAGCTACTTTGCTGTGACACCAGGTTGTGGCCCTCAGGGTTGCCCCATTAAGGCATCACAGGAACAGGGTAGCTAAACTGTGGAGATGGGGTACAATATAGTGAAAGGTCTGAGTATGAGCAGAGGTTGAGGCAGGTGGCAAGCAACAGAGCATTTGGTGTCAAGGTAAGCAGCAGGAAAGACTAGTCGGTGTCAAGACTAAGGTCAAGCAGCAGGAAAGACTAGTCGAGGCCCAGATAGAAGTCAAGACAGGCAGCATGAAAGACTAGTTGGTGTCCAGGCAGAAGACAAGGAAGGCAGCAGGAAAGACTAGTCGGTGTCCAGCCAGAAATCAAGGCAGTCAGCAGGAAAGACTAGTCGGTGTCCAGACAAAAGTCAAGGCAGGCAGCAGGAAAGACTAGTCGGTGTCCAGGCAGAAGACAAGGCAGGCAGCAGGAAAGATTAGTCGGTGTACAGTCAGAAGTCAAGACAGGCAGCAGGAAAGACTAGTCGGTGTCCAGGCAGAAATCAAGGCAGGAAAGACAGTCGGTGTCCAGTCGGTGTCCAGACAGAAGTCAAGGCAGGAAGTAGGAAAGACTAGTCGGTGTCCAGACAGAAGTCAAGGCAGGAAGTAGGAAAGACTAGTCGGTGTCCAGACAGAAGTCAAGGCAGGAAGTAGGAAAGACTAGTCGGTGTCCAGACAGAAGTCAAGGCAGGCAGCAGGAAAGACTAGTTGGTGTCCAGGCAGAAGACAAGGAAGGCAGCAGGAAAGAGTAGTCGGTGTCCAGACAGAAATCAAGGCAGGAAAGACTAGGTCGGTGTCCAGACAGAAGTCAAGGCAGGCAGCAGGAAAGACTAGTCAGCGTCCAGACAAAACTGTACACAGTGAAAATAAGTCACAAGGCTTATGTAACGTAACTCGGTTGCTAAAGAAAATGATCAGACAGAACATACAGAAAAAATGAAACTAGTGATGAATAAATAAAAGTGAACCATATAATAGTGACCCTAAATAGGGGAATAGTGGATGAATAGTTAAATAAGTGACACAAATAATATGGACCAAGATTAGTCCTAACAAGACATATGAATGACCCAACATAATGAAATCACATAAACTCCATGTGATCCAACCAAAACCATAAAGTCCAAAACACCTTAACCATCTCCTGTCAGGCCGTTGTATATAACCGGCCAGATGGCGGCAGTGCAGGGTCGGGTGGTGGTTTATAAATGGCCTCCTCGCCCCCTGCTTGTGCGCGCTCCCTGGGAGCGCACAGCACCGCGATCCGGTGCCCGCTGTGTCCTCCAGACACAGTGGAACACCGATCGTCGTACGGGACCTCTCTGCGAGATCCCGATCATGTGATCACTTATTGGCCAATCAGTGATCACATGCAGAGTAGTAAGCAAGATGTCACTTGTGACATCATTGCTTACTACGTACGAAATCTGTGAATGATCACAGAGGTCACATGGTACAGGGCTATTCACAACAGCCTTGTACCATGTGACAAGCTGTGACCAATCACAGCTCACACAGTAGTTCTCAATGGCTGCAAGAATGCAGACAAGAGAAGGAGAAATGATTGCTTTTACAGCCTTTATGGGTGTAAAAGAAATCAGTGTAAAAAAAAAAAAAAAAAAATCTTCATCTCCCCCCACAAGTAGTACAGTGTCACCATGGGGACACTGTACTGCTAGGGTGACCGTAATAATATTAAAAAAAAAAAAAAAGTTAAAAATTATAATTTTTGGTTATAAACTAAACTAATTTGTTTTTTTTGTTTTTTTTTTTTTACTAAAAAGATAACGGAATAAATTTTGGCCAAGATTTATGATGAAATATTTATTTGCAAAATTTTATAAGAAAAACACTTTCAAAATTTTTGGACTTTTTCATTTACATAGCAAAGAAAAATCCCAGTGGTGAATAAATGCTACCAAAATAAAGCTT